CTGGTACCTCACCTCCCCTTGCAGGCACTGGAACTGTTCTTGAGGAGGGAGACACATGGTTACTGCTAGGAAAAGAAAGGCTTATGTTTCACTTTCTCTATTTCAAACACAAATTTATTTTATAATTTTAAAATTTAGTTTTACTTTGCACTATCTGCTTTTTTCCTGAAAGATGCTACCAAAATTTTACAAGTGTAAGGGATGAACGTAGCAGGATAGGTGGGAGCCCAGACCACGAGGGGACCTTTAATTAATTAATTATTCTTTTTAGACAGGATCTCACTATGCAGTTCAGGCTGCTCTTGAACTCACAATGATTCTCCTGCCTCAGCCCCTCAAGTGCTGGGATTACAGGTGTGCATCACCAGGTCCGGGTCGAGAGGACCTTTAAAAATGTAGACTTTATAACACTTTTCAAAGGAGAGAATGTTCTGGATATTTTACTTCCCAGTTTTCTGGGAATTTTATTTTTTTTATTTTTGAATTTTTGAGACAGAGTCTCGATGTATAGTTCAGACGAGGCTTGAACTCACTGTGTGGTCCAGGCTGGCCTCAGACTCACGGCTATCCTCCTGCCTCAGCCTCCTCAGTGCCGAAAGTGTCCTGAATAAAGAAGCTCAGTTATCTTTGCTTTCTTCTTTGACTTTTCCCCCACTGACCTCTCTTCCTTCCTCCCCACCTTCCCCGGAGGCACAACCAGCATCACATGCTAGACCCCGGGACCCCCTTGTGAATAAGGCTCACCCCTGTTTTCAGAGCAGAAGCAAAGTTAATTGGAATTGGACCTGTGTGAAAGGTTGTCTTTGTTCGGAGCAGCTTTCCATTATCTTAGAATAGAGAGAAGCTTTGTGGTTTGCTCAAATCCCCTGGAAAAGGCTGAAAGAAGATTGAGAGTGATTAAAAGAAAGGGGCCACTGTATGTCTGTGCAAACCATCCCAAGGGGACAGAGACACGAGGGAGAAACCTGTGGATTAAAAGAGTCTCTAGAGATACAGCCACAGATGCCGGTGTTCGGATCTTACTCGGATCATAATTCAAACAAAACGCACAAATTGATGTTTATGAGACAACTGGTTCTTTGAAAGCTGACCAGATAACTGATACTGGGATCTATTGTGAATTACTTTAAATTTGATAATGGCATGGTGCCTTTAAAAAACTTTGTCTCCTTTAGATATGCATACAAAAATCTTCATGAGTGTTGCGCTGCCTGAGATCTGCTTCAAAATTATATGGGGGAGGAGAGACAAAAAATACCATTTTAGGGAGAAGTTGGTAGTGGTAGAAATGAAACAGGATTGAAGACAGAGTTAGCAGTAGAAACCACGTAAAGGCTACATAGGGATTTATTGTATGATTTTGTATGATTATGTTTGTATGATTGAAATTTTGTTTAATAAATTATTTTTTTGAGACAGGGTCTCACCATGCAGTCCAGGCTGGCCTTGAGCTCACTTTGTAGCCCAGGCTGGCTTCAAACTCGAAACGATCCTCCTGCCTCAGCCTCCTGAGTGCTGGGATTATAGGCGAGCACCATCGTGCCCTGCAATAAATTATTTTTTAGAAGAAAGAAGCATCATACTCTGATTTCCTGGGACTTCTACTTTGGTGAAAGAGGGGATTAGGGAGAAGGGAGTGAGAGGGAACGGGCAAGCCTGGCTGGCGTGTATAACTTGGAAGTGGACAGGGTCTGGGCTCGGGGACCAGAAGGGACAAAGGACAGCACAGGAGTGCGAGGAGAGGATGATGGGAAAGGGAAATGGGCCACTGCTTTCTTCCTTCCCTTTCTGCCTTTTGTTCATTTGCTATTTATGAAAAAATCATCCTGGGAACTTAGCAACCGAGATTCTCAGGCACCAAGCCATGAAATTCCACTTTAGTCGGCAGGGCCTCCAAGCCTGCGTTTCCCGCACATCCTAGGAGAGCAGGACAGCTAGATCTTCCAGGCGCTCCAGAACCTAGCTCCTATGAGTGGCTTGGGACGTTTGTCACTGACCTTGACACTGCCAGACTGTGACCAAGCCACTCTGCGGGGCAAAGCTCCGTGATAGCAGCCCACTGATTCAAGGCAGGGAAAAATAAAGGCGATGGGGAATTATGCAAAGGAAGCTGTATATTGATTTCCTTTAATGCGTCGGTGGGACTAGGCAAGATGGAAGGTCTCTCGAGTAGAGAAAGAAATTCATCAGCCAGCTACAGCCTAAAAGCCATCTCCTCTAAGCCCCTCTATCCGGTTGTGCTGATGTTCTCTGATTGTGTATTCACTGAACAGCCTTCTGATCTCTACTGAGGGGAAAAGCTCAAAACACTTACTGGCTGCCGCCAATGACAGCGCATTTCATAGTGCTACCTTTTATTGACAATTTTAATAAATTGATCTTCTGCCTTCTGAGTATTCAGAAAGCCTTTATGCAGAAGAATTAGGTCACTAAGATCTGATTACCCATCTGCAAATGACTACATTTAAGCTTTAGGACCGGGTAAGTTCATGAATCAGCTTGGAACTACAGAACAGTTTTATAGTTTATATCTAGATGTCCCTCCAAAGCCTCCCATGGTCATATGTGAGGATTTGGGGAAGTGACTGGATCATGGGGCGTGATACTCATCAGCGGATTAGTTGACTTTTGAGTTTATGGCTAAATGTGATGTTGGGGCCAGGCATTATGGCACACGCCTGTAATCCTAGCACTCAGGAGGCTGAGGCAGGAGGATTGCCTCGAGTTGAAGGCCAGCCTGGCCTACATAGTGAGTTTAAGGTCAGCCTGAATTACAAAGCGAGATCCCCATCTCAAGAAACAAGGGGGCTGGGGATTTAGCTCAGCGGCAAAGCGCCTGTCTGGCAAGTGCAAGGTCATGAGTTCGGTTCCCGGTACGGGGGAAAAAAAAAAAAAAGAAACAATCAAGAAACAAAACAAAACTTAAATGTTATATTGGGAGATGAAATCTGGTCAGATGAGGTGGGTCACTGGGGGGTGGTCTGGAAGGGTCAGACCCTCCTCCCTTGGTCTCTCTGCTTCCAGGGCCGTGTTCTGAGCTGTTTCTCCTCTGCATGCCCCAGTGCCTTGGAGCCAGATGACTCTGGACTGAAACCTCTACAAACTGTGAGCCCAAATAAACCTTTCCTCTCACAGTTGTGGCTGTCAGGTAATCTGTGCCAGCAACGAGAAAGTGATTAAGACGAGCAATAGCTCCTTGGCTGGGGCATCAGCCCTTTAGGGGTGACTAGACAACCCTTTGCCGACACATTCTTGGCCACATGCCTCAGGACACAAGGTCAGAAAGTGCAAGTACGCCTGACTCAGAAAGGTCAACATTGCATGGTTTCTCTTACATGAGAAACCAACCAACCAAATGAATGAATTTAGATACCGGAGAGATGGCAGGAAACTAGATGCAGACCTTTGGAGAGGGGAAGAGGGTTGGGGGAGGGGGAAGAAATGGAGACAGGAAGGTAACAAGATTGAAAATAAGCAAGATGTGTTAAATGCGTGTACCAATCTCCCACCCTGTATTACTAACATGCTCTAACGAAAAATTAAATAAAAAAAGAAATTATGACTAAGTAACCAGCAGGCTGCCCTCTTCACACCAAGCCTGTGTCTGCTCAAGCGCTGTGAGATCTTGAGCAGGTGAGACGAGCCAGGCTGAAGAAAGTTTTGAAGCACACAAGGTGGTCTGCAGGCCCTGGGGCCTTCCTGCTGTTGAAGATGTCACCAGCATCAGTAGCCTGCCGCTGCCACCTCTGATATACAGAGGAGACGGGAGTAAGGAGCAATTGGGCGAGCTGTGAAAAGTCCGACTTGGGCGGGGCATGGTGGTGTACACCTATACTCCCAGCACTCAGGAGGCTGAGGCAGGAGGATCGCTGTGAATTCAAGGCCAGCCTGCACTACACAGCAAGACCTCGTCTCAACCTCCTCCTCAAAAAACCACAAAAAGTCAGGCTCTGTTGTCCACTTCAAAGCCGTTTCCTTCCTGGTCCCATCCCCCATCTCACCCCACGCCACCTGCTGGAAGCTAGAGGCAGATGCGCAGGCCTTCAAGAGGGCTTTCTGCCCCTGCCTGTAACCATGTGGCACAACTTTGTCCTGGAGCTAGAATTCCCCAAGGGCTGCTGGCATCTCGGAAGCAGGCACTGCTGGCTGCCTACAGGGATAGAAAGTCACATGGTGCGCTAGACAGGACCTCACTGAAGCACAGGCTACACGGGGACACAAGGTGACCAGAGAGGCCTTTCAGGGAAGCCCAAGCACAAACCTCTCTGCACTTCGCCTTGGCCTGGGTAGAAGAAGGGCCTGACTCATTTCTCTGCTTCCTTTAAAGATGGGAGAAAAAGTGGGGCATTGTGGCCACGCCTGTAATCCCGGCAGTCCGGAGGCTGAGGCAGGAGGATTGTTGCAAATTGAAGGCCAGCCTGGACTACATTCTGAGTTCAAGGCCAGCTCAAACTGCACAATGAGACCGTGTCTCAAAAAGCAAACAAACAAAAACGACAAGCGAGAGAGAATGCAAGCACACAGGCAGAGAACATCAAGAGTCTGGCGAAAACTGGGCTCAGGACGGCTGAAAAAAATACACAGCTTAGTGGAAGCAGCGTTGAGCAGGGAATTAGTTTCGGGAGAGGAGGAAGAGGATTCTGGACATTGGCTCAGAAGAGACAAAGAGCAGAGAGGTTAGGCTGGGGCAGCGGAGTGCACAGAAGGGTTAACAGGTTGCAGGGTCGCCCGGCCAGGGGAAGCCCACGGATCTGAAGGAGGATGGCGGTGGGTTATGGGGAGAAGAGGGCGGTGTACAGAGAGAGGGCAGGAAGGGAGAGGCCCAGCCAGGGCTCTGCGAGGTTACAGGGAGAAAGTGTGGTGCAGGGGTGCCCGCGGAGAAGGGCGCGCCCCCTACTGTCCAATCTGAGCCATAGCTCCGCCCCTCAGCCTACGAAGCCCCGCCCCTCAGCCCGCGAAGCCCCGCCCCAGCCCTTGTGCGCCCGGGTTCTTTTCCCCTCGCGGCCCAATAGTTCCGGATGTGGCGCGCGGTCGGGAAGTTTAAACTGACGGACCGTGGCCGCCGATGGGCTCGGTGTGAGTTGGGAGGCCGGGGTGCCTGGTGCCGGGGTCGTCTCTCCTTCCCCGTTGGGGCTCTTTGTGGAAAGGTTAGGGGCGGAGAACAACGCAGGGCCCGCGCCCGGCCTTCTCGCCGCCTCGGGAGCCGTCTGCGGGGCGCTGGCTGCGGGGCCCTGCGCCCGGCCTCTGCAGCTCCCCGCCGCAGCTCGCCTCGGCCCCTGCCCTGGCGCGCTCCTTCCCAGGAGAGATTTCCAGATCTCAAGTGCTTTTGACGGATTTTGAAGGTAAAAGCACTTCCGTCGGTTGCGACCCAAATGTAGGGATTGTGTATTTCCAGGCCGGACGTTCAGGAATGGAGCCGTCTCGGCGCCCAGGGCGCCCTCGGGGCGGGTCAGCCGGCAGGGGCCGGTGGGGCGGACGGTCGCAAAGGGGAGCTCCTGGGCGTCCGCATCTTAATCAGCTCCCGGGGAGACAGACCTGCGTGTACCTGGTGGAGACCTAGCGCTCTTCTGGGCGGACTTGGCATTTAATGCAAAGTCAGGCAGCTAAGATTTAGATTTACCCCCAGGCGCGGGCTGTTCTTGAGAGGGAAGACCCGAGCTGTCTGGAGCACTTTATGTGAACGGCACACACGGGAAAGGGTAGCGCAGCGAGGGAAACGCGAGGCCCGGGTTCAGCCCGAGCGAGGAAGGCATGGTGCTCTCACAAAATTACCGGACCGGTGGGCAGGGATTTTTATTTGGTTTTGTTTTGGGGGGTTTTTTGTTTTGTTTTGTTTTGTTTTGTTTTGTTTTGGCTTCTTTTCCGGTACCGGGAATCGAACTCACGACCTCGCGCTTGCCAGGCAGGCGCTGTGCCACTGAGCTAAATCCCCAGCCCCGGTTTTATTTTAATTAGGTCAAGACTGCTTGCATGAGCCATTCTTCTTCAGAACATTCAGTTCCCTCTCTAACCCTGTGCTTACAACCTGACGGAGTACTAAAGTGTTTTCCCACAAATTTGCCACTGGGGAGATGCATTCTTCTGGAGGAAGAGCCAGCTGGAGTGGCTTCGCGGGGCGAGAGCGACAGTCGGGGTCCCCCAGGCCAGTGTTAGCAGGTTTCATGGGTACCAGAAGTGCTTTCGGAGACCTCATCTAGGTCTGTGTGAAGGATTTCCCCTTCTCCTAGGTGAGGAAAGCGCTCCCTGTGATATTTGACTTTTAACAGCATAAAGGCCTGCATGCATGTATGGTCGTACCACAGGAGCTGAATAAACTCTACCTGGTCGCAGGTGTAGAGTCCCTGATGTCTCAGACTTGAGAGAAGAGAAAGAAATGTGCTTCTGCGGACCAGAATACAAATCTGTAATATATTTTACTAAAGAGTTGCTGTTATACAGTATCTGGTGATTAGGGGTGGTTCACTGGACATTATCCAGTATTTGTAGAGCACCTACTATGTGCCAGTTACTCTGGTAAGTTCGGAGGAGACATAGGTGGGCAAAATGTGACCTGGGCGCTGTTCTTAGTGAGCTTACAGTCTAATGTAGTGTAGTTGAACCAGTATGGTACAGGCCTTCAATTCTTGAGCAGCATAGCACAGAAGTAAAGACTGAGTAGACAAAATATTACCAAGTTGACACACCTCCACTCATGCATCTTGCTGTAGAAGATGCCCCCAAGTTCTCCGGGCTTGTTAATTTTGACTTTGGATACATTTTAAACAAGCTTAATTACCTGGCTTTCCAGCCCATACTAGTCACACTTCAACAAAGCAGGAAAAAGGAGAATGATTACAGAGGATTACTGAGAAAAGTGGAATGCATACTTAAGGTCTAAAAACTAAAATCCGAGTTGGAAGGCCCCCACAACACAGCAGGACAGCAGTGATCCCTTCCGTGTAAGGCGTTGTTTCTTTTTTTTTTTTTTTTTTGGTTTTTCTCCGGTACTGGAACCGAACTCACGACCTTGCGCTTGCCAGGCAGGCACAAGGCGTTGTTTCTATGTGTGTTCTATATGGTATTTATTCCCTGAGACCTTAACAGCAATTAGGTAAGAAGAGTTAAATGGGAAACAGAGTTAGTAAATTGACTTTTCAGTAGAACTTGTCAGAATCTTCAGTAAGGTTTGAACTCATTTTTCTGCTGGGATAGAGAAACAGTGCAGCTAAGTGCTGGACAGTGCAGTATTGGTACTCAGAGTGGCAATGCTAGGTCATTTTAAGAGAGTGAATTATGTTTGGTCCATGTTTAATGAGACAGAGGAGGGTTACATATTTTAATTTTTTATCAAAATGTTAAATATTTTGGACTTGGTAGGGGTCAGAAATTAATTCTTATCTCTGATTTCACTTTATTGGTGCTGGATACGTGAGACATTACTGTATTTGAAATGTATCTATGGCCATTGTATGATAAAAGGCTTTTCTTGCTTGACTTGAGTCCCTGACTCCTTATAACATTGTTTCCATGAACCATTATGTTCTGGGTTCCCAGCAGCCTATTTAGAAATGAAATTTTAGACCAGCAATCTGTATGCAGCCTTGCTATGTAGTTCAGGCTGGCCTTGGACTCACTGTGTAGCCCAGGCTGGCCTGGAACTCACAGTCATCCTCCTGCCTCAGCCTCTTGAATGCTGGGATCACAGGCATGTGCCAGCATGCCTGACTATTGCTAAATGTTTTGAAGTGAATTCCAAAAAATTAATTAATGAACATTAAATTTCTAACCTGTTTATATCCACCAGAAATCTTTAAATTGGAAGCAGTGTACACTTACCCTGTGACCTGCTTTTCTTAGTTACTAATACTTTATATAAATATTTTTATATCTGTGTCATTTCTTTATATTATATAATATTTCCATTGTATCAATACACTATAGTTTGCTTAATAATAGAGTAGCAAGAACTGAAGCCCTATGAACAGGTCTGTGCATCTATGGACTTTTTTCATTATTTTTGAGCACAGAAATGTCTTTTCATGCTAATTTTTTTTTTTTTTCTTTAAAAAAGGGGATTGCATAAGATTTCAGTGAGGTTTAACGCAGGGCTTTGTGCATACTAGGCAAGAACTCTACCATTCTTTTTTATCTCCCGTTCTTCTTTCAGTTTCATTTTGAGATGAGAGTCTCACTGAGTTACCCAGGCTGGGCTTGAACCGCTGCATTGATTACAGTGCTGGTGGCAGAAAAAGAATGGACAGTTTCATATACTGTACAAGGGCACCACCAGATGGTAGATAGAAATGTTGCTCAGTAAATTTAGCGTTGGAGAGGTGGTGTAGGTATGTTTATTGTATTAAGTTGTGTAAAAATGGAAAGATGTTTCTTTCCTTTTTGGTTTGTCTTACCTTTTTTTTAATAAGGTTGGCTAGGGGTTTATCAATTTTATTTATTCTTTCAGAGAACCAACTCTTTGATTCCTCACAAAACTAGGATTAGAGGTCCCCTTTGACCCAGCTGTTCCCCTTCTGGGTATTTCCCCAGAAAAATTGAAAACATCATACCACAGCAATATATGTACACCCGTGTTTATAGCAGCACAATGTGTCATAGCTAAATATGGCAAACAACCCAAATGCCCATCAACGGAGGAGTGGATTAAAAAAGATATATTATACAATGGAGTACTACTCAGCTATAAGAGAAGATAAACTCGAGGCTTTTATAGGTAAATGGATGCAACTAGAGACCATACTCATAAGTGAAATAAACCAGACTCACATGTGTAAACATCATATTGCCTCCCTAGCGTAAGAAACTAAAGGAGTAAATAAAACCCAAAATGTACAATAGATACTGTGAAAAAGAAAGAAATTGCTCAAAGGGAAGGAGCAATTGGGATGAAGGAAAGGAGAAAAAGAAAAAAGAAAGGGAATATATACATACATATCTATATATACATATACATACATATATAGCTGGGATAATTGTACTACTGATGTCTATCTGTTTATTGAAAGGAACAGTTAATGCTTACATTTTTTTGGACCAACTTTGCATGCCTATATCTGGTAATCTGAGCAACTAATTTGAAGGCAGCAATATGCAATATAACAACCATTGGTGAATTCCTTCCATCTTGTTTACTGAAGCTCCATATCATTTCTGATGTTTTTGTGTTTTGTTTTGTTTTTTTATCCTCTGTAATGGTTTGATCAATTTCCCATTCTTACATCTGGTAATCTGAGCAACTTCATTGGAGATAACATATTGTTATAACAACCACTGTTAATTCCTATCATCTTGTTTTGAAACCCTATATCATTTTTGTTGTTTTTGTTCTTGTCTATGTTGTTGTTATTTTGTTATTTTTTTATTCTCTTTAAAATAAAAAAATAAAATAAATGGAAAGTACGAAAGCCACGGGCTATTTGAATTTAATATTGTTTTCAGTAGAAATGCTTGTGGTGGCCCCTTGTTTATAGCCACTTAGTGAGTGATTCTGGAATGGTCCTCACAGTGAACTAAGCTGCTTGCTACCTTTTAACTACATTCTCTACAGATCACCCTCTCTTCAGTTTCAGTGTGCTTTCATTTATTTCTGAAAAATGCCTAAAATTATGGTGAACAGTTTTTTTCCTTCCCATGACATGTACGGCCTTTTTATTCTCCACAGCATTTCTCAGCGTATAGCTGTCTCTTTGCATTCTGGCTGGGAGCGCTGGAGTGGTCTTCACCATGCCGACAGTGGTGGTGATGGACGTGTCCCTTTCCATGACCCGCCCCGTGTCTGTCGAGGGGTCCGAGGAGTACCAGCGCAAGCACTTAGCAGCCCATGGTCTGACAATGCTGTTTGAGCACATGGCCACGAATTACAAGCTTGAATTCACAGCCCTGGTGGTTTTTTCATCGCTCTGGGAGTTGATGGTTCCTTTCACAAGAGATTATAACACCCTGCAGGTACAAAAAGGAATACGTTCTTCTGTGTACAAGACCCAAAAACGTTTTATAATGTAACACTGAATTTGTAGAACTTGGAATTATTTAATAATAAGTGTATGTGTACTGATATATATAGCTGTAAAGCAAGATCTACAACTAGTATATGCTTTTCTATGGTGGAGCTGTGAGGTAGAGATTTTGCCGCCTTATTCTCTTGGTTTTCTGGACTTCTCTATAGAAAGGAGAGTATCTCAGGATGCAGTATTCTGCTCCTTAAAATTCAGCATCTTTAGATTCAACACTACTTTTTTTTCTGCCTTCCCTTAAAACTTGGGGAAATGAAAAATATCTCTCCTTTATTAAAAAAAAAAAAATCCCTTATTGTAGAGTACTTCAAAATGATATTACTCTCCAACAAGGACCTTTGGTATATGGAAACCAAGAATTTATAATTTTTATACCTTGATTGGGCTGGACATGGGAGTGCACACCTGTAATTCCAGTACCAAGGAGACTGAGGCAGAAGGATCACTATGAGTTTGAGGCAGCCTGGGATACATAAGGGAGTTCAAGGCCAGCCTGGACTACATAGCGAAACCCTGTCTCAAAACAAAACAAAAAAACCCTTGATTGGTAAGTATTTGCTTTCCAGGGTGTTTTCTGTGATGTCCAAAGAATTTAATTTCTGACATCTCTAAATCATTCTTTCTAGCAGTGCTTATCACAGTGCCAGAAATCAGTAAGTATTTATGGGATTAAACTGCAGCTTCATAATCATTAGACAATTTAGAAATCCAGGATCAGTGTAGTTTGAATTTTTAAAAATATGAAGTATAAATTTTTGCTACAGCATTGTGTTCCAATTAAACTCAAAAAAAAATTTTTTTAAGGCTGGGTGTGGCAGTGCATACCTGTAATCCTAGCACTTCGGAGGCTGAGGCAGGAGTGTTGTGAGTTCTATGCTTGCCTGGGCAACTTAGCAACTTCAAGTTTAGCCTGGACTAGTTATTGACACCCTATTTCCCAAAACAAAACAAAAGAAAAAGGCAGACTAGTCCAATTTCTGCAAAAAAAGCTTATTTGTTTGTTTGCTTTTGTTTTGGGGATTGGGGTCTCACTTGTAGACCAACTTGTTTGCTTGTTTGAAACTCATTATCCTCCTGTCTCAGCCTTCCAAGTAGCTGAGATTACAGGTAGGTACCAGTGAACCCAGCTTGCGCTGGCTTTCTTACAAGTGACTAAGCTAAGGATTTATGGTGTCCCATCATTCTGAAATAGAAAATTGCAACATAAAGAATGAGGGGTAATGATTAAGCAGGGGCACCTTGCAGTAGGTCTGCTTCAGTGAAAATCCAGGCTCTGCTGTGTCTTGTTACGAGACCTGAGAAAGTTACTTCATCTTTGCATACCTTAGTTTCTTCAATCGAAGGAGGTTAATGATGTGATGATAAAGTCCATGTAGAGTGCCTAGAATGGTGTTCAGGATACAGTTAACACTCAATGATTTTGTCATTGTTTTTGTGATACGTTTAAGTGTTTCCCTTCAGGGTCCCCTTTAAGGATAGAAACTTGGAGAAATGTCGACTGTCACTTAAAAGGGTAGAGCCAAAGAAGCTCATCTGATTATCCTTTGTAGTTGCAAAAGTGTGTTTTACTGTTTTTCTTTAAAGACCTATGCTTTGGACTTTCAAACTCAGGGTCCCCTGTGTAATATCCATACTTTGAATAGTTTGTGTTATTTTCTAACAAAATAATAATAATAACTTTATTTTTTACTCAAAAAGGAAGCACTAAGTAATATGGATGATTACGACAAAACCTGCCTGGAGTCTGCATTAGTTGGTGTTTGCAATATTGTGCAGCAAGAATGGGGTGGTGCAATTCCTTGCCAGGTAAAGATCAATTCTTTCTTGTTGCCTCAAGTTAAAAACATTAATCACTGTGGTGCTTTGGTTTTCTTCAGGCTCCAACACAGCAAGCATTGTAATTTCCACAAACTACATTTTACACTATTGGTATCGTTTTTTAAAGAAGGTACTAAGTCACTCTAATCTTACCACACTAATCTAAATCACACTAATGTGCTCAGAAAGCAGCAGAATTATGCCGTAAGGAAGGCATCTTCCTAGTAAATTGACTTACTGCGAACAAGTAATGCCTGCATAAGACAAAGGGCCCATGGTGGAATTTGAGAACTGCACCTGCTGGAAGGAGTGATTGTAATTTTGAGTGATGGAATGGTAAACGTCAGTGCAATACAGGAATGGTAAACGTCAGTGCAATACAGTCTGTCTTCGTTATCTAAGGTAACCTGTATTCAGCCAGCTTTTACCCCTCTGACCTCTCTGTCTAAAAGTGGGGTTATAGGCCGGGCATGGTGGCGCACGCCTGTAATCCCAGCACTTGGGAGGCTGAGGCAGGAAGATCGTTGTGAGTTTGAGACCAGCCTTCGAGACCTGCAGTTTCATAATCATTAGACAATTTAGAAATCCAGGATCAATGTAGCTTGAATTTTTAAAAATATGAAATATAAATTTTTGCTTGCAAAAATACATTTTGCTTGCATATGTAAAAATATGAAGTGTAAATTTTGTTGTCAGTATCCTCTTGAATTGGTAGTTACAAAGTGAGCTTAAGGCCAGCCTGAACTGCATAGCGAGACCCTGTCTCAAAAAGACAAAAAATAAAATAAAATAAAAAATAAAAGTGGGATCATGAATGTCACAAAACCCGTTGCTCTTTACATGGAATTCACAGTGGGTCTAGATTAGTGTCAAATCAGAGCAGAGTAGCAGCAGAAAAAGAATGGGAAGTTATAAATAGGTACTTTGGGAACTAGTAGTATAGTCAGAAGGAGAAAACAAATATTGCCAAAAGGAAAATCATAACAGTCTGCACCGGGATTAGCAGACTTTTTCTTTATTTTAGGCTTTACTGTGGCAATTATTCAACTCTGCTCTTACAGGATGAAAGCAGCCTTAGTTAATAAGTAAGTGAATGGGTGTTCAAATAAAATTTTATCCACAGACCCAGGCATGGGGCTCGATTTGGTCTGGGGGCCATAGTTTGCTGTTGCCTAGTGCATGACATTTTATTATAGGGCAAATACGGGATTTCTCAGTAGTATCAGTGGTATCCCTTGTATTTGTTTTTTAATCAAAAATGAGATTGTCATCATGTGGGAGTGAGGGAGGGGTGTGGATGGATTCAAAAGAAGGAGGAAGAAATATAGGAAAGAGTAGAATTATTTACTTAGATTACAGGGATGGTTACATAACTGGATGTAGTTGTCAGAATTGTATACTAAAATGGTAAATTTAAAAACTTTTTCGTACTGTGAAAACCAATGTTTGATAGAATATAAACTCTTGGATTCAAGAAGACCTTGGCCTACTACTAAGGGTAAATCAAATGACATTGGTGGATGCTTGCTAAAGAAGCTGGTAAATACCCTTTGATCAGTTCCTTTTGAGAAATAAAAGTTTGGCACTTCTCAGGTTTTGTTTATTTTGGCCAGTTGATACAAGTGGACCTTCTAGTTTCTGAACAATATACAGAACAAATGAAATTTTGTTGTCAGTATCCTCTTGAATTGGTAGCTAGCAGGTAGCACAGTTTATTTGCTGTTTCTTCTGTGGTCTTTGTGGAAAAATTCAGGGAAAAAGTTTAAGAGCTAGACCTTGTACACCATGCAGACTTACGCCTTTGATGTTTTTCTTTCTTTGAAAAAGAATCTGAGTTTGATATGAATTGGTCCTTGACAGCAAGGGACCGGGCTGAGACCAGGTGGCTCAGACCCAAAACACTGTGGTTGTTAGAATCAGTCAGTACCAAATTTCTATAAATTTAGAATTTGTTAAATCAAGATTTTAGATAAATGGACTGTGTGTCTTCATTATCTGAGTAAAGTCTGTCCCATTCTGACATTACGTAAAATAATTCATTATCACATAGCACCTGAAAAAGCTGGTGTGAGAAGCAAATTGCTATAGAGCAGTTGGTGATACTCTTAAAAGAAAATTGCCTGTAGTGCATTGATCATCTTCCCAAAAGATGAGCTCCCTTCAGGGGACCGCTTAAGCATCCTGAGGCTTTGGAAGTAAGTGCCAGTCTCGGTATTTCATGTGGCGCAACACCTGATACTGCTTTAATGGCTCGTTACTATCAAGTTACTGGACTAGGCGAAGAAAGCAAAAATAATCCTCCGCTGGGACATAGATAAATCTCTGCCCCACAGGATTGCCCAGAAGCAGTGAAGAAAAGGAGAGTGGTTTTGCAGTTACCCTCTGTTGTTGGGGTATTTTACTGGCTTTCTAAAATTATGAGTTGAGTAAGTATACTTTTTTTTTTTTTTTTTTGGCAATACTGGGGATTGAACCCACGGCCACTCTACCACTGAGTTTTATCCCCTGCCTTTAAAAATTTTTTATTTTAAGATGGTGTCTCACTCAGTTGTTCATGCTGCCCTTGAACTTGAAATCGCTCTGCCTCATCCTCCCGAGTAGCTGGGATTACAGGCATGTGCCGCTGCACTCGGTTCTTCAGTATGCACTTTTTAAAAGATCTTATGTCCTTTTTGTTAAATGTCTCTTACACTTGTCATTGTAGTTAGCTATGGCTAGAATTTGTCATGTTTAAAAATAAACTTTGCAAAAAAAAAAGACAGCTGGGAGAGCAAGTAAAGTAGCCCTTTACCAAAAAAAAAAGTGGCAAAGTTCAAACTTAGGGACTGGTACTTCCAAGGAACAGATGTGAAACAAATCATGCTGTTTTTACATGGATGCCTTAAGTCCTAACTCCTTAAGAGATAGAGTTCTAGTTTTACTACAGCTAAGTAAAAATTAGAAGTGTTCAGAGGAAGGCTATTGGCATTTAAGTGAAATAGAGTAGGATGCATAGATTTTAAACATGGTTTACTGAATTGGCAGATGCATACAGTTGTGTAACCACTGCTACAGATAAGATAAAAACATTCCCATCATGTCAGTTTCCTCAGACCCCTTTCTAACAGTGAAACACTGTGAAATGGAATTGCTCTACATACGTAATTTAACACATCAACCTCCTCTATCTTTTTGCACACAGGTGGTTCTGGTGACCGATGGCTGTCTTGGCATTGGTAGAGGGTCGCTGCGACATTCCCTGGCTACTCACAGCCAAAGAAGTGAGAGCAACAGATTTCCACTACCTTTCCCTTTCCCATCTAAGTTGTACATCATGTGCATGGCAAATTTGGAGGAGGTAATACCTTTGCCTGAGTTTTTTCAGTTTAACTAAATAAGCCTTAGGGCTCCAGTTATTTTTGAGTATACCCTGTTAGTACTTTACTGCATGTGCTGTAGTCCTGTGTTCCGTTGTTTTCACCGGGGGCTGCTCACTGTGTCTGTTGGAAAGGCTCCTGTCTTAAGTGTTCTTTGACATTTCCGAGTGTTGCCCCGTCTTGGGAGTATGGCTGGAACTGTTACCCATCCTGCTCGTGGGTCATGAAAGGTTGACCCTTTTTGGTGTTAGTTATTTCTCTAGGTCATGATTCTTGTCTCTGTTCCACCAGAAATGTTGACAGAGGTATACTTCGGGTTTTTTTTTTTTTTTCTTTTTTGTAAAGTGACACTTCTCTAAGGCATTTAACACCTAACTTTCTGGTTTTCCCATTTACTTGGGAAGTTAATTCATCTTCCCTCACGTGAGTTTTTCTTTCTGTAAAATGTTGATAATGATGGTTCTTGCCAAAAGGTGCTAGAAACACATTGGAGGGAAGATGCCTTGTAAACACTAACTGTGATCTCCTCTGAGAATCTTTGCTAAACTGCTTGGGAATGAAATACCTCTATTGTTGTCATTTTATAGAACATTCCTCTTGGTAGCTTTGAGTCTGTCATGGTTATTTCTGTCTCGTATCAGCTGTTAAGAAAATCAGCTCAGTTATTTCTTGCCTGTGTTGTGGTAGCTATGACCTGTGCTGGTGATGGTTTGGTAATTGGTACACTTTTAAAGGGGTCACCTCTTGCTTTGTAGCTTCAAAGCACGGATTCCCTGGAATGCCTTGAACGTCTCATAGACTTAAATAACGGTGAAGGGCAAATTTTTACTATTGATGGCCCCCTGTGCTTGAAAAATGTACAGTCTATGTTTGGGTAAGTATGTGCTTAAATTTTTTTTTTTTTTGCCTTCTTTATAATCCAGTATCATAATTTGGCAGTTTCTAATTGTGAGTTCATTTTTCCCGAATTGTCCATATCTCAGATAAAATGATTACTAATAGTGGTTTTTGAAAGTTCACTATCTTTTAAATTAACCATGATTAAATATGTGATGTCTATAGCTATTGACTTCTTTACTATAATTTAGCAGTTTCAAAGATTAACTTGCTTTTGGGTTTTTCAGAATTAAAATTTCCTCACCAAAAAATGTGAGATTATGTTCTGGTTTTCAAGCAGTAAGATTTAGTTTGGAGTCATTGTGAAGGGAAAACAAACTTTGCAGTTGTGGAATATTACTTTTCTAGCCAGGTGGAATAGCACATGCTTGTAATCCCAGCACTCAGGAGGCTGAGGCAGGAGGATTGCTGGAGGTTCAAGGCCAGCCTGAACTACATAATGAGACCCTGTCTCAAAAAAACAAAACAAAAAAGATTACTCTTCTATGTATCATTACTCTTTCTATAACAATTCATCATCATGTCCTAGAAAGCTGATAGACCTGGCATACACACCTTTCCATGCTGTTCTCAAGTGTGGCCACCTAACCGCTGACGTCCAGGTCTTCCCCCGGCCAGAGCCTTTTGTTGTGGATGAAGAAATTGATCCTATTCCTAAAGTCATTAACACAGGTAACTTGTTTTTAGAACTTCCTTCCTATTCTTTCTGTTCCCTTTATTTTCTTATGACTTTTACTTTGTTCATCAACTAGGATGATTAAAAAGAATGTCATATTCTGATGCTAGGGTGCTAGTGTCGTCAGCACTTTGGATCAGTGGATGTGTTACGTAGAGGGTGGCAGATTATTGATCCTTTATGGTGATCGTGCTTTAATCTCTGGTCCTAAATCATCATTGTCACACGTTGCTACAGTTGGAAATCATGGCCAGATTTACTAGCATTGACCTCTTTGAGGTGATTCTTCATAGAGATACTGAGATCGATTTGCACCCTAACTGAAGTCCTGTGTGAAGGGCTGTCGTCTAGACTTGGCTCCTGGCTCCGTGACTCTTACTGTGTGACTTTGGGAAGACTTCCTCAGTTTTTGTTTTGCTTTATTTTGTTTTGTTTTGGTCTTGTCTTTTTTAGACAGGGTGTTGCTGTGCAGTTCAAGCAGACCTCGAACTCACTTTGTAGCCCAGGCTGGCCTCAAACTCTCAGCAATCCTCCTGCCTCAGCCTCCTGAGTGCTGGAATTATAGGCGTGTACTACCACCCCCAGCTATACTTGCCCAGCCTTTATTGGCTGGGTGGGTGGGCTCAAGGAGATGGTCTGTAAGCTGTGAGATCTGATATATTGCACTCTTTTAGCCCTGCTGCTTATTATGACTAAAAGAAAGCAGTGTACTGCTGCTTTTCCCTGGTCCCTGTTGCTGGTACCCAGCTTAGTTGAGATTGGCGACACCCATGCTTAGCTGTGGCTGGCAGTGCAGAGTCAAGAAGGGCAAGGAGTGGAGAGGAGAGTTGTCTCCTGTTGACAGGTAGACTCCTTGAGTGCAGGGTGCATGTAATACAACCTCTTAGGGCTGGGTGTAACTTTCAGCCACTGTTGCAGCCTCAGGGCCTTGGTGGCCGACAGTCAGTAACTTAGGTGCACAGTAGGTGTTCACTGTTTGGGTCTAGAGGTGTTGGAACGAAGGGCTGTGAGGACAGGCTTTTTGTTTTTTGTGCTTTTAGCCGTTGGCTGTCTGGAAGCAGAGCATCCGTCTCTTTCCATTGTGACCACACAGCAGTGCAGTAAGCTGCTCCCGGTGTTCGTTGCCTTCAGACCAGTTCAGTGCCTCTCCATAAGCCACTTCGTTCCAGTATAAACTTCTAGTCCATGACCTTTGTTAGAGCTTATATTTAAGCCACAAAAGATATTGGGGGCCTTTTTCTACTCGAGTGAAAACTGTCCAACTGCTTGTGCTGATGCAGCTGTTACTCACCTAAGGGCGGTAATGACAGCAGGTCTCAGATAAATGATGTTCTCACTGTGCTTCTGATTTTTAAAACTGTTGTGACATTATGGGCATGTGTTGATTAGAAGAAAGATTAAAAAACAATTCAGTAAAATATAGATGTTTCGGGCTGGGGATTTAGCTCAGCGGCAAAAGTGCCTGCCTGGCAAGCGCAAGGTCATGAGTTCGGTTCCCGGTACCGGAGAAAAACCAAAACAAACAAACAAACAAACAAAAAATATAGATGTTTCTTTTGTGATGAGTATGAGTTATTCTCTTATTCTTCTTTGTAACTTCTAATGTTTTTCAAGTTTTCATGTTAATTATATAGTCAGAAGAAACTTTTAATTTTTTTTATTTTAAAGAGAATAAAAAAAAAATACAGTGGGGCTGGGGATTTAGCTCAGCGGCAAAAGCGCCTGCCTGGCAAGCGCAAGGTCATGAGTTCGGTTCCCGGTACCGGAGAAAAACCAAAAAAAAAAAAAAAATACAGAATTTCAAAACAAGATGATAGGAAATTAACAATGGTTGTTATTTTGCATTTTGTTATCTTCAGATTAGTTGCTCAGATGACCAGATATAGGCATGCAAAATTGATCCAACAATTAAGCATTAACTGTTCCTTTCAATAAACCAATAGAAATTAGTAGTACAGTTATCTTAGTTATCTTGTGTATGTGTATATATGTATATATATATATATTTTTTTCCCTTCTCAGAAGAAACTTTTTTTAAAAAGGTTTTAGTTATTCTTTTATTTTTTATTTATTTTAGGTTTTGAACAAATAGTAGTGGGCTAGGGATTTAGCTCAGTGGCGCAGTGCCTGCCTGGCAAGTGTGAGGTCCTGAGTTCGAGTCCCAGTACCAAAAAGAAAACAAATAGTATTGGTTTTTAGTATAGTTGTTTGTTTGTTTCATTACTAGGGATTGAACCCAGGGGCACTCTCCTACTGAGCTGCATCCTTAGTCCCTGGTTTTGTTTTTTGTTTTTTTGTTTTTTGTTTTTTTGAGAGGTTTTTGTTGAGTTGTCCAGGCTGGCCTTGAACTTGCAGTCCTCCTGCCTGAGTTACCAGAGTAGCTAGGGTTGCAGGGCTGTGCCACTGCACCTAGCTCAATACAGCTTCTAGAAAGCAAAGAAGTCATTGTCATACTGGTTTGTTGGAGAATGCATTTCTTTCTCACAGAAACATTTACTTGCCAAAGAAGGCTGAAAGAGGTTGTTGCAGAAGTATTTGATTTTAATGCCCCCCCAACCCTACCCCGATGATCCAAAGGTCCCTTGACTATACACAGAGATTTGACCTTTAAGCTTTTGCCTTGGCTAGAGAACTATGCTGATAAAAATAATTTGTTTTTTAACTTAAATTCATTAGATAATAGACAATTATTTCTTAAGCTTCTTAAAATGCAAAGTATTTGTCTTCCATAGAAAAGTCTGATAGCTTTCTCAGTCACACTGAAATCTCCACCTAAACAGTATGTTTGTAAAACCCACTGCATAGAAAATAACGTACTTTCCCTTTGTGTGAATTGATTATATGCTGATTCTTTCCTTTCAGATTTAGAAATAGTGGGATTTATTGACATAGCTGATATTTCAAGTCCCCCAGTTCTGTCCAGACACCTGGTCTTACCTATAGCACTTAACAAAGGTGAGTTATCTTTCTGTTCCTCTGATGCACATGAAGCGTTATATTAACTAGAGCTATTCTTAAATGTTGGATAGGAGCTTGGCCCATTTTGCAGACTTTAAAGAAAAGGAATAGTTCCTGGATTGGATTTTAGAAAATGAATGTTACCTAATATTCCACAAAAGAAATTCTGCTGCTTCACACTCTGGAAATTCTGCCCACCTGTGTAATTGCCAAGGAGGAAAATGGGCAAAGTGAGGTGCATGTGTAGGGGACCCTATGGGGAGCCACAGTCAGGCCACGTTGTGTGGACCGTTGCTACCAAGCTAACCTGGACAGATTCTTCCTGTCGAAGTAGAAAGTCCTTGAACAAGACCGAGCACACAAGTGTTCTCGGAGGGGAGCAGTTACAGGAAGACTCACGTGTCAGCAGGGTGTGAGAAAACCTGGAGTTTGGATCCAGTCAAGACACTTGCAGTGTAATTGCCATGTACCCTTGGGGTCCTGCATCCCGGCCATACAGGATCCGGCAGTTTTGAACACTGTCTGTCTGTCTAGGTGTGTGCCTGAAACCTCCTGCTAATGTCTAACCTATCTTCCTACTGCAACTGTGAGAAACAGACTTTCTTTAGGTAGCAGCTTTACTGAGATGTAATTCGTATACCATATGCTTCCCCACTCAGAGTGTATAATAAAGCAATTTTCAATTTTCAGAGCTTTACAACCACTATCACGGTCAATTTTAGAACTTTTTCATTACCTCCCAAAAGAAACCCTGTTGCCTTTGCCTACCATCCCTCAGCCCCCTGGCCCCAGAGAACCCCTCATATCCTTTCTGTCCCTATTGTTTTGCTACTGCCGGACATTTCATATAAATGAAATTCATATGATTTTCTTGTGGACGTTAGAATGCTGGGATATATTTTTTCAGCTTGTTATAAGATTCCTTTACAATTTTATATACTTTCTCTTCAAGGCTGTCCACAGCCAAGCGTGCTCTTGGGGTTTGGATTTTCCGCAGCTAATCCCCACCTAACCTGTCTTGTTTTTACAGAAGGGGACGAGGTGGGTACTGGTATCACTGATGACAACGAAGATGAAAATTCAGCCAATCAGATTGCAGGCAAAATACCCAACTTCTGTGTCCTACTCCATGGCAGTCTAAAAGTGGAAGGAATGGTGGCGATTGTCCAGTTAGGGTAAGAGACTTGTTTGCATTTGGTTGGACAGAAGGGTTGAATATAATCAGTTCCCTGGGTGAAATGTGTCACTTTTCTGAAAAAAAGAAAAAGGAAATAGGTCTTCATCACCTCTGCCAAACCCTCCCCTCTGCCCTTCTAAACTACTGTTTAAACTCCTAAGCTACTACTCTACACTACTCTCTGAATCATTCCTTAGAATAAGTATGGAGTGAATCTTTTCATTCCTGTATATTGCTTATATTCTTTATCAATTTCCCTCTTTTTGGGGGCTGGGGATTTAGCTCAGCGGCAAAGCACCTGCCTGGCAAGTGCAAGGTCGTGAGTTCGGTTCCCGGTACCAGAGAAAAAAACCAAAAAAAAAAAAAAAAAAAGAATTTCCCTCTTTTTAAATCTTATTTCGCATACCTGGATTCTGATTATAGCAATGCTACCAGGTTACTGTAACATTTTAGGAGTGGTGGCACATGCCTATAACCTAGCACTCAGGAGGCTGAGGCAGGAGGATTGCTGTGAGTTTGAGGCCAGCCTGGGCTACACAGTGAGTTCTAGGCCAGCCTGAACTGCATAGCGAGACCCTGTCTCAAAAAGACAAAAAATAAAATAAAATAAAAAACAGAAAAACAAAGCAGAATTCACAGACTCTGCAGCTATAAAGTGAAAAACAGTGCTGATAACACTGGGTACTTCACCATGCGCCAGGTACTCCTCTAGGGATCTCATATGTGTTAGCTCACTTAGTCTGTCACAGCAGCACGCTGCAGGTGGTATTGATGTTAACCATGCATCATAGATGAGGTAAGGCTTAGAGAGGTCGAGATCTTTCCCAAAGTCACACAATCACCACAGTAAACGAATTGGATTTTGGAAAATGAATGTTACCTAATATTCCAGAAAAGAAATTCTGCGGCTTCACACTCTGGAAATTCTGCCCACTGATACAACTGCCAAGAAAGAAAATGGGCAAAGTGAAGTGCACATGTAGAGGATCACACCAAGATTCTTTCCCTGCATAGAACCCGTACTCCACTCACTCTGCTGCACCCTTCCCCGTGAGGACAGCCTCTATCCTTTACATTCTCCACAACCTGGACATCTGTGATGCTCTCTGTGTAACACCTGTTGTTAGAAAGGTCACCTTCTGGCCATCACCTGGGACTGGCTGGTACAGAAGACCGAGAGGTTAAAATTAATCACAGGAAGCCTGACTCCATTTCTGCCTCAGTGAAATTAGTTGACCCACAAAGAAGAGGGTAACTCTTCTCTACTGCGGATTGAACTCAGGGGCTTCATGCTGAGCTACATCCCCAGCGCTGTTTTATTTTTAAATAAGGTCTTGCTAAGTCACTGAGTTGCTCAGGCTGGGCTCAAACTTGGGATCTTCCTGCCTCAACCTCCCAGAGTGTGGGATTATAGGAACACACCACCATGCCTAGCTACAATTCTTTTTTGGTCTTTTTGAGACAGGTTTCACTGTGCAGTTCAGGCTGGCCTTGAGCTCACTTTGTAGCCCAGGCTGACCTTGAACTTGCAGTGATCCTCCTGTCTCAGCCTCCTGAGTGCTGTGCAGTTCATTTTAATAAGTGTTTATCTCCCATACTTGGCAACCAAGCTACCTGTGTTGGCTCTGAATATGAGAATTATGTGGACCCTTTGAGCATCCTGGGACAAAGTTTCCTGAATTACTGGGCGATGGCCTTATACTCGGTGTTAGAAGGGCTTCCCTATGTTGGTGCCCTGTGACTCTGGGAGATACCTGAAAAAACCTGGAGGTTGCAACTCTTATTCTTCCTCATCACCGCTACAGCTACTTGCTGCTCTTGGTGATTTTTTTCTTTCTTTAAACTACTTTTGATCATATATGTATGATATATATATATATATATATATATATAATGTCTGAATAATAAATATCTCAGGAATGAAAATATTAGAGGACAGCAGTATGCACTTTCACGGTTAGTGTTTGGCTTTGGTAAAAGTAATGTGCCTGATTTCAAAGCTGAAGGCTGCATCTTGGGAAAAACAGGCTAGATTTATTAACTTGATGGCCCAAGGCTTAATGTTCTCCTCCTCACTGTGTTTTCCCCACCTAGTTCTGAATGGCATGGAATGCTCTACTCCCAAGCCGACAGCAAGAAGAAGTCCAATCTCATGATGTCTCTCTTTGAGCCTGGCCCAGAACCTCTCCCCTGGCTGGGGAGAATGGCCCAGTTGGGTCCGATTTCAGGTACAGCCCAGATCACATCCTCCTTGTCTCGGCTGTGCTTTCTCCCTGCTTTTCTGAAGGTCTCTCACTGTAGCCTGGGAGCTGCCCAAGCCCCCATTCGGTGTGCTGTGGTCTCTGATTCTGGATCTGTATGTTGGCAGTCCGAGTTTTATGTCTAAGCTCTATAGCTCAGGGAAAGCAACGTTTAAGTTGCTTTAAGTATAAACTCTAACTGCTTAGAGTGAATGAAAAGCTTGTGTGTGTGTGTGTGTGTGTGTGTGTATGTGTGTGTGTATTTATTTTTGAGAATGGCTCTCACTAAAGTTGCTAAGTAGCCCAAGCTGGGCTCTAACTTGCGATCCTCCTGCCTCAGTCTCCCAAGTAGCTCTGATTGCAGGTGTACACCATCACACCTGGGTCCTTCTGATTTTGTTATGCCTTTCGACTAATTCCTCTGTGCTGTGAGAGCTTCAGGCTCAAACTGTGGAATTATCCTTGACTCATTTGGGCGAATTTCAATTTCAGAGATATCGACCAGCTATTTTGTGTCAGGCCTAGAGGATAAAGGAACTAGCTGGAGATGCACAAAGTCTGGTGGGAAGTGGATTGATAGATGGATTAAGTGTCTAAGGTCAAAGTTAGCCTGGAGTTGGTGATCACATGAGTGTGCCTAGAGCACTCAGGGAAATCCTCTCTGAGATGAGGTACCCCAGGTAAGTTTGAAGAGACAGGAATTTGCCAGGCAGAGGAAGGAAGAAAGGCCTGGGGCAATAGAGCACCTGTGGAGAGGAGAGGGGCTGGGGAACTCGATGGGGGAGGAGGGACAGGTGGCAGAGGCTGGCGGAGCAGTCTTGGCTGAATGGTGAAGAGCCAAGACACCTGTGAAGGGAAGCAGTGTGATAGATCACGCCAGCTGTGATGGGAACAGCAAGGTGCCACTGGGAGACCCTGCCCAGCTGCTGGTGCCTCTGGAGCTGTGTGCCTGGCCCAGACCAAAAGGAGAAATGAGGACTCGTGTCCTCACGGGAAGAGGACTCTGGAAAGAGTAGATCTGAAAAGGTCTGGGTGTCTTGCAGTGGAAGTCAGTGTAACAGTCCTGGAGATGGGAAGGTGAAAGCCAGAACAGGGCCGGGGGTGGGGGTCGGGGAATACCTAGAAGGTTGCTTCCCCAGTGTTAGGATTTGACAGCCAGCCCAGGCTTCCGGCTTGAGCTGCAGGATGAAAGGTAATCTGTTAGTTGAAATAGAGAACAGGGGAAGAGTAACTTTGGGAAGAACAAATTTGATGTCTGTTGAATTTGTACCCTTAACAAATAAGCAGAAAAACGGGGTCTGGTGTTACACACTTGTAATCCCAGCACTTGGAGGCTGAGGCAGGGAGATCGCTGTGCAAATTCGAGGCCAGCCTGGGCTGCATAGTGAATTTAGGGCCAGCCTGAACTATGTGCTGACACTCTATCTCAAAACAACAGAAAAACCAAAGCAGTAAATAAATAAAAAATGGAAATCCCCCAGACATTCCTGTGGCATCCGGTGTTTGGGAAAGAGGCACAGGTGGAGACAGAATTTTGAGTGCTAAGTGCACAACTGACAGTTACACTGTGGAGGGCAGAGGGCCGTTGCTCAGGGCAGAGGTTCACAGATGTGAATTTCTGCATACAAAAGTAATTCTCCATCCTGGGCTCCACTTGCAGAGATTCTGGATTCAGGCCAGGAACTTGCAGTTTTCATATTGCCCAGGGGATTTGAATCCAGGTAATCCCTGAACTTCATTTAAGCCCTGACCCTGGGGAAACATAGCTAAGTTAAAAAGAGAGCAAAGGGCTGCACCTCTGGCGGGCAGCTACTCCCGGGGCAGTGGAGGAGGAAATGAGAAGGGTGGGCAGACGCAAGAGAGGTGGTAGAGTAACGTCCCGAAGGCCAGCCAGCACCACCGCTCCACCAGAGTGAGTGCAGCACGGTGGCTCGCACACGCGCTCGTGACCATCACGTTCTCCTGGGGCTTAGGGAAGGTTCTGACAGAATAGTAGCCCAAGAAGCTAGACCGAGGATCTGCAGGCTCTTTCAGTAAGGGGGTAGGTAGTCAGTATTTTCAGCTTTGCATGCCATGTGGTCTCCGTCACAGCTGGTCAGCTCTGTCTTCGTACCCATGGAAACTATGCAAATGAGTGACTGTGTCCCAGTAAAACTTTATGGACTCTGAAATTTGAATTTGGTATAATACTCATATGTCCTGAAATACTCTTTTGATTCCTTTTCCTCAACCACCATCTCTCTCTCCTTTTTCTCTCTGAGCAGCATCTCCCCTATGTTGCCCAGGCTGCTATCAAACTCCTAGGCTCAAGCAGTCCTCCTACCTCAGCCCCTGGAGTAGCCAGAGCTATATGTACTATCACTTGCTAAAAGCCATTCTTTTTTGGGGGGAGACAAGGTCTTGCTATGTAGTGCAGACTGGCCTTGAACTCGCTTGTATAGCCCAGGCTGGCCTTGAACTCATGGTGATCCTCCTGCCTCAGCCTCCCAAGTGCTGGGATTACAGGCATGCACCACCATACCTGGCCTAAAAGCCATTCTTAACTCAAGATAGGCAGCATGTCCCAGGTGGCTAGTCCTTGCTCTAGGATCCAGGAACTGGAGTTTTAAAGGTCACATAGAGAACTGGGGTGTAACTTAGTGGTAGGGCAGTTGCCTGGTGTGCATAAAGCCCTGGGTTCAGTGCTCAGCACCATACAAATAAGTAAATAAATCTTGGGGCTGGGAATTTAGCTCAGCGGCAAAAGCGCCTGCCTGGCAAGCGCAAGGTCGTGAGTTCGGTTCCCGGTACCGGAGAAAAACCAAAAAAAAAATAAATAAATAAATCTTATAGAGGGACAAGAGGAATAAGACAAAGAACTAGAAACTCAAAGCTGAGATTATAGAAGGTCTAGTCCCTCTATAACAGATTGAGAAGAAAAATTCTACGCATTGTTTTCTGCTGTTTTTCTGAAATTAGAGAAATAAAAATGTCCCCTATTAGAATAGGAAACTAAATCCTGTACCGTGTACTACCTATTGGCACTAGCTGTTCAGCTGTGGACAGTCCCAGACTGAACAGTGCAGAAACTTGTTCGGAACCAATGAAACCCACGGCTCCTCCTGCAGAACTAATGTGACGGCGCTGCAGGAAAACCTTTACAACCCGGGCAGAGGGCCCGCCACGGGAAGAGCAGCACCCCGCTGCTCATGCTCACAAAGTCTTCATCGTGTGAGGAAATTCATCTCATCAAGGAAGTCCAACAGAGGATTAGCAGTTCCAGAACTTAATGTGAAAGAGAGGACAGAATGACTGTGTTAAATAACTAAGAGTCTTAAGAGGAATAGGGCTGGGATGTAGCTCGGTGGGAGAGCGCTCGCCTAATATTAAAGGCCCAGGGTTTGATCCCCAGCACCACAGTGGGGGGAAAGTTTTAAGAGGACCAGAAACCAAGAGGAAAGAAGAGGGTTTTATGATAGTACAGGAAAGAGCAGTACGGCAGTAACTGGAGTAGAACCCAGGGCAGAGAAAGGTGTGTGTGCGTGTGTGTATGAATGTGTGTAGACGGATTCCTCATCACCTTCATTTCACTTCTGTAGAATTCCTGCATTCATTCTGCCTTTCATTCTTGTGTTCTGGCTGTGTTCTGGCTTTCTTTACATTTCAGTTCAACCGGAAGTCATGTGTCTTCCACCTGCAGCCTGAACTGGCCCATGGCCTGTCTTTGTAAATAAAGTTTTAATGAGACACAGTCCCACTTATTCCTTTACATATTATCCACAGCTGCCTTCGTGCTACAGTGGCAGAGTTGAGTGTGACTCGTAAAGTCTGAAACATTGCTCTTAGGCCCTCTACAGGGAAAGTTAGCTGATCCCGACCTGGACTTGGGGTACTTTGACCCAAGATATTCGTCTGGAGGCTCACATGCAGATTCCCTTCTGATCTGGCTACCACCTAGCAATGCTTGTTACGCTTATTCTTCATTCAGATCGAGCTGCTATTTCCTCTGCCCTGTGTCCATGTTTTTTCCTCCCTCTGGGTCTTTTCGTCTTTTCAGTGGGGGTGATAATCACTAACATTTTATTGAACTTAACTCTGCCAAGCAAGCTGCCACACAGTGACATGCACCATCTTGTTCATTCCCACAGCAACCTTATGGGGCTGGAGTTGGCGTGATAACAAATTATAATGGACAAACCGCTGTGGGGGTGATTGAGCGTTTCTTAAGGGATCTGTATGAGGTGCCTGACTCACGTAATAGCAGATACTACTGCTTCATTGTTTTTCAGAGCAGAATATGTAAAACAGAACTACCGTATACCAATCCCTCCTACTCCTATTCCTAGAAATGACCACTTCTATTCCAGGTGTCTTTTTTTTTAGGTACTGGGGCTATTTCTTGCCTTTCGAAAGGTGTTTGTTTAGCTCTCTTAGGTTCTCTAGGCCTATTTGCCTTGTACCATCCTGTGTCTTCTCTTCACATTTTCCTGTATATTTTTCATGACTATTGAGAAAAGAGTGCGTGGGAAGTGAATGTTGGCAATCTTGCACCTGCAGAAATGCCTCCTTTCCTGCTTTAAAGATGGTCAGGGGTTTGGTTAGGTGAGTTCCACATCAGGAATCATTGTCCATCTGAGTTTTCAAGTATTCCTGTGTTCTTGCCTTAGCTCTGAGTGCTGCTACCGAGGGTCTTTTGCTGTCCTGACTCTCAGACCTTGAGCTGTTACTTCCTCTGCGCCTGTATGAATCTTTATATCCCAGGTGTTCTGAATCATCACAATGATGTACATAGTTGTTGGTCTGTGCATTCATTTTGCTAACTTTTCATCTGGCCTCTCACGTTCTGCAGTCCTGGTTGTGTGTGTTATTTTTTGATGTTTCTCTGTATTCTGTTCTCCCTTTGTGGAGCACGTGTCTGAGGGGGCTGTGTGTGTGCATGCACACACACATTGAACACTATCTTTTCTTATGGATTTTTTCTTTTTGTTCTGCTTTCTTATGATATCTTCAACTTTATTGTACAGGTAGTATTTTAAATTTCCGTTCTATTTCTTATTTCTTAGAGTCCCTTGTTCTTTGTTCACAGATGCTATATTTCCTTTCTGCTGGTGCGTTCACCATTTGCAGGCTCCAGAGTAAATAGGCTCCAGTTAGGCGCGCAGTGCTCGGCACTGCTAGTAAGTGCTGTCACAGGACCCAGAGAAACCACTGTCTGCCAGAAAAACGTGGGACAGCTTTGTAGAGGGGCAGGCTGGGGTCTGGCCTAGAGGTAGGCAGGTTGGGGTAGGTGCGGAGCAGCAGTGCTCAATGGCAGAGAAAGTGCTGGCTTCAGAACCAGGGCCAAGTCACTCTGAAACCTTAAGTCCAACCTCCAAGCCTCACTTCCTGTTTACAGGGCAAGTAATGTCTCCTACTTGTAAGGTTGCCGCACAGAGAGGAGTTGTATATGTATAGTGTCTGACGCACTTAAAATTTAATAACTGGTCTTTATTCTGTAAGTGCTTTGAGGCCAGAAAAATATCTTCCCTAGGACGGTGCTTGGTACACCCTGGGAGCTTTCTGTAGATCAGGAGTGAACGCATGAGGGTGGTAGAACAGTCCGAGCAGGGGAGGAACAGAACTCAAGGCAGGGCAATTGGAAACCACCGTGCTGTGTGCACCAGGACTCCCAGGATCTCGGCTGACGGCCAGGTCTCCATATTGACAAGTACAGGACTATACTGTCTGGAGAGCTGGGCGATAGTTTAGGAGTCGGGAGTGGGGCGTATTGATGGGGGTAGTTTGGGGTCAGTATTAAGGTTTTTGATGAATGGCGAAGTCAGGGGCAGAGAACGTCTTGCTCAGTTAGAGAAGTGGGTCCATTCCCATTTTCTGCACGAACGTTTGGTCCGTGGATTTCAGCTCCCTGAACTGGTGGGGGTGAGAATAAGGACGAAGGGAGCCATTAGGTGTAAGCGCACTGCATGGGTCTGGGGCAGTTCTCTGCGCTCAGGAAGCACGTAAAAGGCAGAAACCCTGTTTATAGGTATAAAACCACCAAGCCTTTCAGTCTTTGGAAGCAGTTAACTAGTAAGCCATAAGACTGCGTCCTCTTCACCGAGAAAAATACTTTTCTCCGCCTTCTTCCTTACTTATGCCTAATTTTCCTTTTTTTAAAAAAATTAACTGCCTAACCCACTAGCCAGTGGCTGCCAGAAGCTACTTAAGTTTAACTAAACCTAAATAAAATGTAAAGTTGGAGCTGGGGAAATAGCTCAACAGCACAGTGCCTGCCTGGCAAGCACAAGGTCATGAGTTTGATTCCTTGTACCAAAAAAAAGAAAAGTAAAATTCGTTTCTGTATGTCGTGTTCAGCAGTTAGAGGCTACCATATTAGATGGCACAGGTATAGAACATTCCAGCAGCAGTGGGAATTTGGTTGGAGAGTGCTGAAATAGAATATAGAACTGCAGTATGTGTGTTTTGTTTTTGCAGTGCTGGGGATCAGACCCAGGGGCGCTCTGAGCTACATCCCCAGCCCTTTCATTTTGGGATAGGGTCTCCCCAAGTTGCCCAGGCTGGCCTCAAACTTGTGATCTTCCTGCCTCAAGTTCCCAAGTAGAGGGATTACAGGCATGTGCCACCATGTCCAGCTGTATATGTATTTCTAGAAGGTGTTTTAATGTTGTGTTTGTTTTATCCTCTCTGGCCTTAATTTATAAAGCAGATAAGTGAAACTTGTTTCTTTGAAGACAGTAAGCCGTTTTTCACTTCTGTAGGCTTCCGTCAAGTGTCTGGTCTCCTGAGTCAGTGTGTCCCACTGGAAGCAGGCTCTCCACACTGGTCCAAGTTAATGGGATTTCCTTAATTAGCTAAGTAGTAGGACATAGAAGACCGAGTGATCAGAGAGCTGCCAGCCTAATCAGAAATGCAGTTGATTGTGTTTTGCCAGATGTCATTTCAAGAATGTCTTTTTCTTTAAGATGCTAAAGAAAACCCTTACGGTGAGGATGACAATAAGAGCCCATTTCCCCTGCAGCCGAAAAACAAACGCAGTTATGCCCAGAATGTGACCGTCTGGATCAAACCCAGTGGGCTGCAGGTAACATCACCATGTGCTTGGCTTTCTTTTCCCCTGGGGACAGGAGGAAGTGTGGGGCGGGCAGGCAGACACACACTTGATTTGATTTTTCTTTCCTTTGATACTTTGTAATTTATTTACTTCTAACTTTGCCATTATTTCTAAAAGGGATTTCAAGTGGCCTACAGTAAAACATGTAGATAGCAACATCATTTCTTACAAAATTTAGAGGAGGAAGAAACCTAGAGAAAGAATGAAGCCAATTGTGTCTGGCAGCCAAGGCAAAATGACAGTTGTGTTTGAGAAGTTTGGTTAGGAGCTGCGGGGTAATCGTTTTTCTTATGTGTTAGCGGAAGCAGGCCCGTTCTGTGGAGAAGTCTATTTTCCTGCATCGGATTTTAATGTAAAATCTGTCCTGTGGTGAAGCACCGAACACTGTAAGCATTGTTATCTTTAACAACAGCTTTGAAAAATATGTAAAGTCTTCATTTGGTTATTTGTTCCATCCCTGAAGTAGAACCCAGGGAACAGCGGTACCCTGTAATTAGCAGAAACACACTCACAGGCACCTGCGGTAACACTGATCAAGAGAGGGTGCTTTTCGGCAGGCATCAGGCACATTTCTCCTTACGCTGATAGAAAGTCACTTATTCCTGGTTTTGAAAATTACTTAGGAAACCTTTTTCCTTTGAGCTTTTTACGTTTCCTCCTCCCCTGAGTCCAGCCTGAGGCACGGGGAGGAAGGCCGTGAGGCTGCCTGGCAGGAGGGGCCTCCGCCGAGTGCAGCGTCTCCCGCCCCCTCTCCCCACGGAAGCCGCGCCACCCCTGCACTGGCCCAGGCCAGAGGCCTCCATAGCGAAAAGGCAGGACCTGCCTCCTTCCTCCAGCCCTGACGGCCGCACTTCCGGGGAGGACAGTGAGAGCCACTTCCACACCCGTTATAGTTGGACTTTTCTTAAATTCCTATTTAAATTTTGCTTTGGTCCCAGATGTAATTTTTATTGTGGCAAAATACACGTAACTCTGAACGTAGCTTTCAGCCATTTTAAAGTACATTCCCAGTATTACTCACCCACCGCCACGGCAGCTCCGGAACACGCTGACCCCTCCAAAAGGAAGCGCCGTCCTCGCTGCGAAGCCTGTCGCTGCGCGTGCCTTCCCCCTCCCAGGCCCTGCCGACCCCTAACCTGCCTTTTGTCTCGTGGACTTGCCTATTCTCGATGTTCAGAGGAATGGAGTAACGGGTGCCTTTTCTGTTTGGCATCTTTCCCTGAATATCATTCATGTTGTACATGTATCAGTATTTCGTCCTTTTTATGGCGGAATGATGATATTCTAATGTTATAAATATGCCACATTTTTTTATCCATTTGCTCAGGTGATGGACTTTAGGGTTGCTCCCACCTTTTGACTATTACGAATGATGCAGTTATGAACATTTATACAAATTTTTGTTCGAACACTTGTTCTCAATACTACTTTTTTGTATATTCTAAGAATTGTATATTCACAGAATTTTGTATATTCTTAGAATTTTATATTTTAATTGTCAGGTTGCTGGATCATAGGGTTGTTTTTATTTTTTTGAGATAGGGTCTTTTTATGTAATTCAGGCTGGTCTTGAACTCAGTGTGGCCCAAGCTGGCCTCGAACTCACAGCTATCCTCCTGCCTCAGCTTCTCAAGTTCTGTGATTAGAGATATGTGCCACGATGCTTGACACTTTTTAACAGTGGCGACGTCATTTTATATTCCCACTAGAAATGTTGTAAGTGTTCGTTTCTCCACATTCTCACCAGTATTCCTTATTTTCCATTTCTTTCCTTTTTTTTAGTAGCGTTGGTATGAAGTGTTGCGTCATTGTGGTTCTGATTTTCCTCCCCTAATGACTACTAATACGGTACATCTTCAGGTGGGGATGCGGCTCAGTGGTGGAGTGCTTGCCCGGCACACAGAGCGCCCCCGGTTTGGCTGGAGGAAGGCGGGAGGGTGCATTTTTCATGCACTTACTAGCTATTTGTGTATCTTTAGAGGTCTGTCTCAGGTCCTGTGTCCACTTTTTCACTGGGTTGTCTTTTTGTTGAGATCTTTATATACTCAGCAGACCCTTAAAAATAAATGACTTGTAAATATTCTCTCCCTTCTGTGGGTTTTCTTTTCACACTTTTTTCTCCTTCCTGTGGCATTAGGGATTGAACCCAGGGCTTGTGTATGCAAGGCAAGTGTTCTACTACCGAGCTATACTCCAGCCCTCTTTTTACACTTCTAGTAGTGCTCTTTGATATACCAGAGTTTTTAGGGGTTTTTGAGGCAGGGTCTCAGTGTGTGGTCCAAGTTGGCCACGAAGTCACCATCTTTTTTGGCCACAGGCTTGTGCTATCACTCCTGGATTTAAATTTTTAGTTTTGAGCAAATCAGGTATGGTAGCACACGCCTGTAATCCCAGCACTTGGGAGGCTGAGGCAGGAGGATCACTGTAAGTTCAAGGCCAGCCTGGGCTATATAGTGAGTTCAAGAGCAGTCTGAGCTACATAGTAAGACCCTGTCTCCAAAAAACATCTTTTTAGTTTTGACTGAGTAAAATATTTCTATTTTTTGCTTTTGTTGCTTGTGCTTTTTTGTATCTTAACTAAGAGATCATTGCCAAATCCAAGGTGATAAAGAATTTATCCTTGTTTCCTGTAGAAGTTTTCCGTCTTAGATTTTACCTTTAGGTGTCTGATCCATTCTGAGTCCATTTTTTATATTATTTGAGGTGAAGGTCCAGCTCCCTTTCATGTGGCTCTCCACTTGTGGTTGAAGACTGTTCTTTCCCCACACAGTGGTCTTGGCAGCCTTATAGAAAAGCAGCTGTCCGAAGATGTATGGATTTCCTGGGTATACTTTTGTGAGAATGATTTATTATCATCCAGCTTCTTAAAGGAGGGAAGTGTATGATTTTCGGTACTGGGGACTGAACCCAAGGCACTGAGATATATGCCAACCCTTTTAAAAGCTGTTACCAGGCTGGGCTTGAATTTGTAAACCTCCTGCCTCAGCGTCCAGAGTAGCTGGGATTACTTTGCTTTCAGTGTTGAGCAGGACACTGACGTAACTCAGAAGGGACCCTCCCCTTCACCTGCCTGAACTGTAGCTCTGTTCCCTTTTCACTCCTTTAAGCATTCAGAGCCACCCTCTGGTGTTCTTTCCTTGCTTTTTAGCACAGAATTCTAATGTTGAATTCTTCATTCTTTTACCCGTAACAGACAGATGTACAGAAAATTTTGAGAAATGCACGGAAACTACCTGAGAAAACGCAGACATTCTATAAGGTGAGCCCGGCAGCATGGCGGTACCGGGGGGTGCCGGGGGGCGCCGGGGGGCTGTGGCCGGAGTAGTGAGCCCGGCCAGGAGCACGAAGATGGCAGGGATTAGTGTTGTGCTGCTCCTGCCTCAGGTTTTTCATCAGGAAAGTCAGTGCGAGCGATGGGGCTGCTCCTGCCTTACAGTCCTAGAAGGGGCGGTGCTGGAAGGGCCCGGGTCTGCAGGGTAGGAGGGCGTCTCCCTGCAGAGCCACCACCCTGAGCACGCCTCACAGGTGACCAGTGCTGCCCGCGCGAGCGGTGTGTGTGACCACCGGGTGTGGGACTGCCCGGAACAAGCCCCTGCGCCAGAGAAGCGCCTTTCGGGACAACTTCTAAAACCCCCCGTGTGAGTCGTGCCACGGGGGCCCTCCGCGGGGCTGCCTGGCCGGTCCACAGCCACGGGTAGGGACTGCAGCCCCAAGGGCTGGCGGGGGTGTTGAGGCTCACTCCTTTCTCTCCGTCCTTCTGGCTTTTGGCTGGAGTTCCACGCAGCATAGTGTAAGGTGCGTCCCGATCTGCTCATCTCAAAGTGCAGCACGCACGCGGGCCTGGGGCTGGACTCTCCCTGGAGAACACACGGCCCTCTGTCTGCGCGTTGCCGCAGCACCTCACTCACTCGTCCTCGAACCTGACTGCGGCGGCCTGCTGAAATCAGGCGGGAGGACAGCTTTAGTGAGCGTGCGCAGCGCGGCGTCGCCGGCCAGGCCCCTCAGCCGAAGCTGTAACCCTGCCGGGCCGCGGCTTCTGCGCGCAGTGGCACGCCTGTGCCCTGGCCTTCCTCTCAGCTGTCCACCTTTCCTAGATGGCACAGGGGTGGCCCGAGCGCCCGCTCTCCCCCCTGGCTTTATCTAACCCTACACGAGAGCCGGAAGAGGAGGGGGCCCTCGCTGTGACCAGGAGGCTCCGCAGCGTGCCCGGCACACCGGGTGCTCGGCGGGCCCTTCCCCTCGCATGGCAGCCCTTCCTGCCGGGCCTGGCTTCTCTAAGCTCGTGCCTTGCCATGCACCGCAAGCCCACACTGCAGAGGCACCGCGGGGGAGGCGGCCTCGGGTTCGGAGCCAGCCTCTTCCAGCCCCGCACGCCGCGGGGAGGTGTGGGCTCCTGCCGTACGCGGAGAGCCGCCGCCGCGCCCGCGTGCTCAGGGCCGTGCGGACAGAGCGGGCTTCCTCCCGAGCTGCTGGCCGCCCGTCGAGGAAGCACGCCTCCGCCGTGTCCTCTCAGTACTGGCTTCCCTGCGTCGGAGCGGGTTCTCATATAAACGTGCACCCTGAAAGTTGAGGGTCAAGGAGAATGGACTGTCAGCTGTGCACGCAGGAAGTACTCGAGGAAGAGCGCGTTTCAGGAACGCTGGTCTTCCTGTGTTTCAGGAGCTGAACCGCCTGCGAAAGGCCGCGCTGGCCTTCGGCTTCCTGGACCTACTCAAGGGCGTGGCCGACATGCTGGAGCGGGAGTGCACGCTGCTGCCGGACACGGCGCACCCCGATGCCGCCTTCCAGCTCACCCACGCCGCCCAGCAGCTCAAGCTGGCCAGCACCGGCACCTCCGACTACGCCGCCTACGACCACAACATCACCCCCTTGCACACAGACTTCTCTGGGAGCAGCACGGACAGAATGTGAACTGAGGAGTTAACGTCAACTCTTCGAGCACATTCACCCCTGACCCAGCCACCGGGGCCTTCCTGACTTTGCCTCGGAAGCACCCCTCGCAGGCCAGAACGGCTGCTCCAGGGTGAGGGGCTGCCGGGGGCTCAGCTTCCCGGCTTGGTGTCTGAGCTGTTGCTCCCTTGAGGGACTCATCCCAGGAAGCCTGGGAGGCTGAGCACAGCGCTCCTGCCGTTGTCTTCCTCAGGAAACGCCGGCGAAGGCTGCCACTTCCTGAAAGTGTCCCCTCTCCGGGCTGTGCCCGGCGGTCAGGACCTTTCCAGGCTTCCCTGGAGAGGCAGCCCAGGTTGCTTGGGACTTGCTGAGGACAAACGGGATACACTGAGTTCACAACTTTGCTTAGAACTTGGTAAAATGTGACAGTAATGCTTGGGTGCTTTTGGTGTGTGAGTACAAACTTTTAAACAGCAACCACATACGTGTAAAATGATTCCTGTATTTTTAATGAAAGTAAAATACTTGATTTTCTATAGCATACTTTCACTGAGAAACTCATGGTCCTCTGTCCCTTTGTCTGTCCTGTCATTTGACTCTAGTGACACAGATTCATAGATCCAGAAGTTCTTGGAGGGTCCACACTGACCTCTTCATCCGATCCTGATTAGGCTGTGCTGCCTACAGCAGGTTCCAGCCAGCACATCCCGCAGACCACGGCCCAGTCAGCCGGGTTCCCAGTCATGGGGGCTCCCGGTCGTCCGCTAGCCTCAGGACCTTGCGCAAATCGCGCCACTTCTGCAGGTTTTATTTACATCAGCAATACTTTTCCAGCCACATGGTGCCTTCAGAAGAATTCCCTCAGGCTTCAACCAGAACAACTATTTTTGTTTTAGTATGCTGAACTACTAGATGATACTTTGCCTAAACAAGTTCGAAAACCATTAAATAATTCTAAAGCACAAGTTCTTAGGATTTTGATTGCAAATGTTTTAATATAAATACACATCTTCCTCAGACAGCAATCAAGGGGTTCTTAACAATTACGGAGAACACAGAGCTTCGCCACGAAGACGCAGCATCTACTGCAAAGCTGATCTGCCTGGTTACAGTCAGGTGAGAGGACAGCAGAAGTCAGTACAAACAGCTGTTGACGGAAGTTACAGACATGCAAAATGCCCTCCAGTGCAGTGAGTTTTTAAAACAGCTTCTGCTAATCAGAAACTTCAGGTCAAAGCTGACCAGTCTCCTTTCCTCCAGGAACACTGGGGATGGCAGAACAGAAAGCGCGACTATGCCTTAAATTCTTTCAATGCAAGTGTCACTTCTAACACTTACTTTACCTGGTTTATGTGGAATGTTCTGGAGGAAACCGATGTGTTTTTACAACAGCCAACCATAATGGCTAGACTTTCTTCAGTTCCTCTTTGTGCGTTTCCTACCAGGGATCCCTGGTAAAGGACCAGCAGGTCATTTCCCGGCCAAAATTCCTGCTGTTTTTAGTGTCCTACTGCAGACAGGTAAAAAGCCAACCCAACAACCCAACAACAGCACAAAAAACGTGTGTTTGAGGTTCAAAAGCGTACAGCCTCCCCACTCTCTCAGAGAAGTACACAGGAAATGGACTCAGCCGGCACAAGGGAATGGAGACTGACTTTCAGTCTGTGCCCCCGTTAGACAGCAGGCGGGCAGGGCCTGCTCCAGGCTGGCCTGCGTTCACTTTGCAGTGTGCCACAGGCTACAGTTTGGGCACGTCTATGCGTGCCAGTTTGGCCAGTGTGGCGTGCATTCTTTCCTGACTCTTGCAGCCACCTGAGTTTGGAACTAACAGTGTTTTCTAAACAAGGTCTCCTCTTTCTTTAGACTTGAAAACAGTCCCGATTTACCTAGCAGCGAAGTGATCGTGGTGTTCCAAGGTTCTGCTTGGATTCTCTCAAGTCACCTTTGCCTCTTCAGGGCCCACACTGGTAAGCGCTATAGTAGTAAGCACTGTGGTGACAGACATGGTTAGGCTGAAAGATGTCAGGTGCAAAACTGCTCTCCAGCCCGCTGTGACCAGAGACTTCTCAATGACCAAGTATACTTGATTTTCAAAAAGTCAGTGCCCTCCCCGCCACTATTTAAGTAGTCCTTTGGGTACAGAATATTAGGTTCTGCCTGAGTCACTTTAAAGCGTTCTACAGAGCAACGCAGTCTTGCTTTTTTTCACTACTAATAGGGAAAAAGAACAAATCCCAACTGTAAGAGTGCTCGGTCCCTGTAGGAACAGCGCACTGGAACTGAGTCTCTGGCATGTGAAGAACAGAATGGGTCTGGGCGGAGCCCTGTGCTGTCGTTAATGCACACACAAGAGTGAACCTGTTGTCAGATGTCGGGAAGCCGTGTCATGCAAGTACTACACTAAGATAATACAGCAAATTCAGGAATGTCACTGTGGAAAGGGCGACAGCCTCACTGAGAATTTAATTGTTTAACTTTAAAAAAACGTTTACATCAGTACAAGAAGGTAAAACTGTAAGAATCATAGATTAGGCTCAAACTGGCAAGAAGCCTTCTAAATCTCTCGGATTAGTGGACCTTTTTCTTTTTTTGTCCATACCGCCGCCTGCGCTGTTTATAAAGATGACGAAAATTTATGTATAACCCTGTAAAAGAAAAGAGAGATGGATTAGACATGACAGTCTCTGTTGTAACCAGAAGCCCTTGGGGCAGGGAGCAGACACTCTGCTTGTGTTTTCACATGCCCAGCGCTGTCTGCTGCGGGGGCCCAGAAGTACAACTTAGAGCACATCGGTAGTGTGCACCAGACACAGGCTGACTCCTCCCTCAGGGGATTATAACTTAATTTTGTCCCCCACTTTATTAGGAAAATTTCAAACAAAATCTTCTGCACTTGTGCTTCTTTCCTTCATCACATCCCTATCGCCTGTTCGTCTGACTATCTCACTACTGAGGCATTTCAAAGTTAACAGGCAGACACTTCACCCCTGCACACTTCTGAAGTACAGTGCAATACAGTCGGTCTTCCTTCCCCTTGGGCTTACAATGAAACGCACAAATCTGAAGTGCAAAAATAACCTGATTTTTAACCCAGGGCTCCCTCAAGAACACATGTTAAACAACAGTCTAAAAGGGATGACACAAGCCAGCCATACAGCGTAGTCCCAGCTACTTAAGAGCCTGAGGCGGGAGGATCACTTAAGATCAGGAGTTCAAGACCTACTTGGCAGTGAGACCTCATTTCAAAAGCAAAGCAGATAAAAGGTTTGAGACACTTTTGTAGGAAGTGCAGTTCAGTAAATTAGGAACCACACGATTTCAGGGTCAGAAATTTTAATCCTGCTTGACCACTGAGTAGGTTCTGAGCTTCCTCATTTTTACAGTAGTGTCAGAAACATTTATTTACAAGCTTATTGTGAAAGACTCAGTGTATGTACAGAAGTACTTTGATGTGTATAGAAATGTTACCTGCATGGCAACTGCTTCAAAGTTGTAAATGTGAATTTAGGACTTAATAGAGTTTGAAGAATAAGAAAACAACTATTTACTTGTTACGGTTTGTCTAGATGTCCCCCAAAGCCTCATGGCTGGGGCTTTTCCAGAGATGGCCGGACCTACAGTGTATGACAGCGTATGATGCTGGGATTAAGGGTAGGTGATTACTAAATCAGTGCACTGACTGATTTGGTACCTCCCTAATCCTGGTAGGCCGGACACAATATAAGAGACAGAAAGGCTCGTCTTGTCCTTGCTTGCTTCCTTTGCTACCTTCCGCCTGCCATGAACTGTTTCTCCTCTGCCGTGTCATCCTGCCTGGGAGCCAGCTGATTATGGACTGAAACCTCCACACACTGTGAGCTAAATAAACCTTCCGTCCCTTATCTTGCGGGTGTAGAGTATTTTGTCTCAGCAACGAGAGAAAAGTGCATAAGACATTACTCATTACAAGCAGACCACTAACGACCTTGCAAGTTAAGGTGTACAGTAAGAAGAAAAGAAACTACTATTAGAGCATATTAACATACTTCTCCCTCTCTAACTCAGTACTAAAATATTTTAAATGTCCTAATGCTCATTCCATTTCAGTACCTTCATTATGCCCACGCACAGAGCCTAGCTACTGGGCAAGAAGCTCTTTAAGCTTACTCCCTTCAACATCTAAAACGTTTTAGGTTAGAAATCTTTCTGAAATAGGTTATACACTTTGCTGAAATAGGAAACAAGAAGTAAAGTTAACCTTCTGCACGCGGCCCAGGCTTGTAATGTGTGCTATTAGCTGCACCTCCACCATGTGCTGATATGCGGTGGAGCTCCTAAAGGTTCAGCCCCTTCTCCCTGACAGCAAAGGCGCCAGAGCACGGGGCCTTCTAGCTTCTCAGGCTCCTCCCCATCTGCGGTAGCACGCCTCTAAGAGTCCCAAGACTCCCAACCCTCCTTCAATCTCTCGCATTTGTAACAACTTAGGTTTACTTCTTTTTCCGTTCAGTTCTTAGTTTTTATGACTTAACGCAAGACTATTTTATGTAAATGTAAATTAATAAGCAAGCAGGTCATGCGTGACTAGCAGGGCACGTTCCTACCATTACGGGGAAAGCTCTATGACAACCCTTGGCTCCTTCCTTCCTTGCTGCCAGCTGTATTGCCTGCTGCCTCTCTGACATTTGAATAAGGAATGTGCTGCTGACACTAGTTAAAGATGAGCTTCCTACTGTATTTCATTTATTTACTTTTAAGTTTTTAAATTATGAGATGAGGTCTTGCTATATTGCCCAGACTAGCCTGACACCCTGAATTCAAGTGATCCTGTCTCAGCCTCCCAATCAGCTGGTACGACAGGCATGTGCCACCATGCCTGGCTCCTACTCTATTTTAAAAAGGCTCTTTGCCTTGTCTTCAGCAAGAAATGTCTCATAGTAGGCTGAGGTGGGAGGACTGTAAGTTCGAGCTCAGCCTACTGAGCAACTCTGCAAGACTGTCTCAAAAATAAAATAAAATAAAATGAGCCAGCCACCGTGGCCAGTGCCTGTAATCCAGCACTCCAGAGGCTGAGGCAAGAGGACTGCTGCAAGTCTGAGACCAGCCTGAACTGCATAGTGAAACCCGTCTCAAGAAGAGTGAGTGAGTAAATGAATGAATGCACTGGAGATGTAACTTTGTGCAAAGATCCTGAGTTCAATCCTCAGTACCAGGGGTTGAGGTGGGGTGTCTTATGGTGTATTTCCAATTACCAAGAACTACTTTCCTACCACTAGTGGTGCGAAAATGCCTGTTGGTGATTCAACGATTCAACCACTAGATTCTTAGGAAGAAGTATTTCCATACCATGGCATATTCTCCTACTGGGTTTGTTTTTGCAAAGTAAATTTTCTCTGCTTCTATGTTACTCTTTTAGAAAGAATTCGTGGATTTTGTAGGATTTGCTTGTTTGGTTGGTTTGGTTTTTGAGACAGGGTTTCACCATGTTATTATAGGCTAGCTTTGAACACACTATGAAATCCTGGTTGGCCCTGAATTCAGAGTGATCCTCCTGCTTCACCCTGCCAAGTGCTGGGATTACAGCATGCGCCACACACCCAACTAAAAAGGAAAGTCTAACTGTGAATCATTTAACTCTACCCTCTCAGAAATGACAAGGGAAAGACTATCACAGAGCCAGTACTTACCTAAAAACAACATTATAAGATAAATCTGAAGGAAAAAGGAAAATCTAACTTTGATTTTCATTGGATACGGCAATGTAAAGCTGAATCTTCCGGTTTCATTGAATACTGGAATGGACTGGATCACTGCGACAGCTGAAAACGCAGAAAGAGCTTGTTACGAGCAAATGAAAGCAGCACGTGTGCTAACAGGCCGTGCAGCCCCAGTGCCCGGGATCTCAGTCTGGGTGCTGGACACGGCTCTCCTCCCTTTGTGCAGAAAGCTCCTGCGGCTCTTTCGTCCCCCTGAGTTCCTAAGAGGCCTCGGAGCCACGAATAAGAAGATGGAGGAGGACACTTGTGGCACCAGGCTCCTGTTTCCTGGCCCCGCAAACGGAGGAAAATCCCTACCAACTCATTCACTAGGTGTCAGAATAAAATGAAGTTCTTTAATAAGAATGAACCCTGGAAATTCAAAATATGTAACTGAAGCATGCAGTACATGACTCAGCCGCTTCCAAACATTACACAGTAACTTCCAGCACTTCCCTGGAATACCCTGGCTACCAGGAACACTAAGGAAGGTGGCCGCAGGAACACAGTCCCGTCGAAGTCCAACACCCCATCTACCAGGCCGAGGCCGGCAGAGGCAGGAAGAAGGGACTGGCCGCTTAGGTACCAGCATCCCTTGCAGTGAAGCTATGGGAGCTGGGTTCTGACAGTACCTTCCGCTAAGCATCCCAGAGGGTACACAGGAATCCACACAGTGTAACGCAGCCACGTGAGCACCTTCCAGTCCATGTCGATGCAGGAAAGCATGTAGAAGGGATACCTGTGGAAGACAAGGACACAGTGTCAGCGGCCACCTGGGCTCTGAATGCAGCCTAGATCATTCAGGGACACAGAGGCCTCCACTCTCCATAGCAACATACAGCTTCTTAGGAAGAGGAGACTCCTGGGCTGTCTACCCAAAGCCCCATCGGGTGACTCTCGGTCAAGGCCCCAAGTCAGAGTCTCACAGGAAGCTCTTTGTCTAGCTCATGTGCTGGATGCTGACAGTGTCTCTGGCTTTACTCCTACCTCTGATCTATGTTCCTGTGGGTGAAGATGGCAGACTCTTTGTCTCCCGATAGATGAACTGTTAGCCCAACTAAAATACATTAAAGGCCTCTAATCTAGAATCAGACATACGTTATCATAACAAATCTGTTTCTTCCCAAACAGCCGCAGTTGACAGTAAGGACCCGTATCTGTTCACCTTTGCATGAAGCTACGAGAGGGACAGAGGGTGCCCTGGAAACAGAGCACGGTTAAGATACGACTCAGGCTGCTACTGCTACTCCCTCGAGTTGGTAACTCAGAATACCACAAACACCAAGAGCCGGGAAGCCAATCTGCACAGTCTCTGCTCCACTTGAGTGAACGGGGAAGAAGCACGGGACGTGTGCAGCTGGTACAGAAAAGCACTACTTACACTGCATCAGTTCCTTAAAACAGTCTTTCTTCCAGTGGCAACTGAGAATGGAAAAACCGGGTGAGAAGCCAGCTCAAAACCTCAGGCAACCCGTGAAAGACTCGCATCTGTCATCCCTGCTAGGCGGCCATCCTGACTCATGTGTCCAGCCGGGACTGCGCTTTCCACCTAGGCCGGGCCTCTCAAGAACTGTCCTTGTGGATGGACCCTCAGGTCTCAGCCACACAAAAGCAACATCCTGAAAGGAAAGAGACGGCTCTTCCCCTTCCCTGTTCCCTCCTGCTCCCTAGTGTGCAGGCTGCCATGACTCAGTCGCTGCTTTAAAAAAATTTTCCCTCAACTTTGCAGAGCACTTTGGTGAAGCCAGGATTCTCCACATATATGGTGATTCCCAAGCCAAATGAGACTCTGGCCACAAAAGCCGCTCACTCAGGAAGAGAGCTGCTCCTGGGAGGGACAGGCATTCAAACACCCTAGCGTTTCTACCCACCTAAAAATCTCAATTGTGCTCCACAAATAAAACACAAAGAAAACCACAGCCTTGTTTTGCATTTCTTCCACGGTGCCAAAGATGATGAACAGAATGAAATTTCTTCCAAGAAGCTATTAAAAAGACCCAAAAGAGAAAAAAGTTAAAATGTATACAAGACACAACTGAGACGTATTTAAATTTTTAAAAATTATTACAGTAAAAGGCATACTGCCACTAATCCCCCACCTCCCCCTCGCTTCCCACACACTAACCCATCATTCCTGCCCCTTTCTGAAGCAGGTCTGCAAGTCCTCTTCCATGCGTATCTTTAGTTGTGCTGTTGTTGCTGCCTCGATGTCCTAAGTTAACTCAAAATGTTTACCTTTCATGTCATTTTGACTTGGAGAAAGAGCCAGAAGTCGCACAGTATCTGACTTGGTGAATAAGGTGGACGAGGACAGCCCACCCTTCTAGGGATGACAGCTGGCGGCATTCACTGTATTTTTCATTACATCTCATAAAGACACTCATACAAATGGGACTTCCAGAACTGCTTCAGAAAGCGGCAAGAACAAGGAGCTAAGTGTTCCAGGTGAAGGGGAGTATTCTGAGGTGGAGTAATGGCAACGTGTCCTTTACGGTAGTAACGCTTTTCACATTCACTGTGTTTTCTGATCATTTCTTATACATCTGCCATTATATATACCATATAAATGTGTTATCTACAGCAGAACCCCACTAAATACAAGTTAAATGGAAGAGACTCAGCTAAACTAGTTGAACTCTGCTCCGGTTTTGTTTTTTGGGTTTTTTTTAGTACCAGGAATCGAATTCAGCCTCGTGCTTGCCAGGCAGGCGCTGCGCTGCTGAGCTACATCCCCAGCCCTCCAGTTTTGATATGAGCACCCAAACCTCTTTCTGGATAGACAGGTACTTGGGTGTGTGTGCCTACAAACAGTGTTAAAACACATGCATACCTTCAAACACAATTTAGAGAACGAGTATTTGTGCCTGCCTAACCCAGATTAATGAGCATGTAACTGGACGTGTGTCAGTCACGCCACTGCTTCACTGGCTGTGCCTGCTGGCTCTTGCTCACAATGCCTTGTTTTCTGGTAGTTTTGTTTTGTTGGTCGTTCCAGTCTTTGACTGCAGCCCCTCATTTTCCTTGGAAACAACACTGGGAATTCTTTTAAACCTGGGCAAAGGTATTTCTTACAGAAAAGACTTGTGTTCGACACTTCCAGAGTCTGAGGGCAGTAACGTTTGATGATGGCTACTTTGTTTTGGTTTTGTTTTTTGAGACAGGGTCTTGCTGTGCAGCTCCCGACAGTCCTTCTGCCTCAGTCTCCTGACTGTTGGGACTACAGGCCACTACGCCCGGCAGGGTTAACGTTAAATAAGATTTGTAAGTAGAGAATTTCTTGAACACCAAGGAGTTACGAATTTACATCACAAATCGTGAGAGTATCTCCCCACCTCCAGCAGGACCAATGTCACAAGCAGCTGTGATCTCACAGAGTGCTCGCGGCCTGGGTGGGGTGGGGCAGGGAGTCCAACCTGCCTTTCATGCAGCTCTCTGCAGTCTTCACTGGGGAAGGGGCTCATTAAATTCAATACTTCCGCGGGAATCTTGAGTTTTTGTATCTCCTTTGCCTTGTGAGACGAGCAAAGTGAAGGTTAAGTTCGCTGTTGGTGTGAATCTCAGCGCTCGCTCGGTTTCTCTGCAGAGCTGCCAGCAGTCACCTAGCTCATCCTGCAGCTGATACTTCTTTCCCACCTCTAGCATTTTAGCGCTAGAGTTCACCAGGCCACCTAATCTCCCTGTGTTTCCTGAAAAAGAATCCTTTAACCCGTTTTTGCAAGCCAAGTAAATACAATCTTATTACTCCACGATTACTTTGTAACGGAAGGTTGTTTTCATCAGACCACTTGGCTAGATACTGGGCCTCTGATCTTCCCTCAAAGGACAATAAAAAGCAAGCGTTCCCTCTGGTTTCCTGGGCTCCTGCTCTGTACACTATCTTCCACACACTCCTCTGAGGCAGGAAATGGCACTCCAGCTGCTCCTGCCTCAAGGACTGAGGCTGCTTCTTACCCTGTGTGCACAGCCAGCCCTCCGCGTAGGCTAAATGATCCATCAGCCTCCTGTGGCCACTTCGTTCTGCCCACAGGGGATGTGAAGGGCTAAGCCTGTCCCTTCCATTCTGCCCTACGAGTCTACTGTAACTCTTACTGGTAATAACCCTTGATATGTTAAGTATATTATTCCATATTAGCAGATCGCTTATAATCCCCTTTTATTTTTTTTAAACTAAGCAGCCTTTTTCCAAGGGCAGAAAACCTAGAAATAATAAGGCGATAACAAAGTATTAAGCCAACGTAACTTGCAACTGATACACTTAGCACACAACAGCTGGTAGACTAACCGGCAATCACCTGGTGCCCCTGCATCTCGGCAGATAGCACTTAATGGTATGTGATCACACAGCAAAGAAACAGGGCAAAAAGGAAAAGACTTTGGTGCCCCATTCCCGATAGCAGTCACCACAGGAAACAACACAGCTCGGGGGGTGAGGGGGCCCCATTCTCCAGTCAGAAGAGCCACCTGTGTCCACAAAACAAAGTCCAAAGGAACATGAGTTTCTAGATTTCTTTTTTCTTTTTGGGGGGGTTTTCTGAAACAGGGTTTTTCTATGTAGTTCAGGTTGGCCTTGAGCTCACTATGTAGCCCAGGCTGGCCTTGACTCCAGGCGATCCTCCTGCCTCAGCCTCACAAGTGCTAGGATTATGGACATGTACCACCACACCTGGCTTAGATTTTTGATTGCTTTTCCTACGCAAGGCATTGCTAACCAAAGAGACTGAGGGGAGGTTTTCCTGTACCTCCCTACATTTGAAGCTCATTTTATTCTTTTGTGATTTTATGAGGATGTTATAAAAGATCAAAGAGCCCAGAAAAGTCTACTTTGGAAAGTATCCCCAAAGTTTAAATTTCTTCTTCCTGTTCAAGTAAAACAGTGTTATTCCCACACAAACAAGTATTTTTATAACTCAGACCAGCAAATTCTTACACACCAACTAGACAAATCCTGAACTCTTCCATCCCCACCCTTGAGCTCGGCCACTCAATACCTGTAAGAGAGAAGGTACCACTGGTGAACTGGTGACTCCAATTGCTGCGTTGATGGTCTCCACAGCTGCCAGCATCTGGCAGAAATACATCATGTCAGCCACACTGTGAAACGTGTCGTAGAAGGACTCTGCGGCACAAACACACAGTAAGGGTGAATCAACTGACAGATGTCAACAGAATCACTTTCCCAAGGGCTTTGGAGAAGACAGCACATGTCCGGGCCTATTCAAATGCCTCATCTAACCAAACTGGAGGTGAGCAGGTTTCTGGTTAGCAAAGTTAACACATTAACTCCGAAAATGTAGGATTCCTGATTCCCTGCCTTAGCGAACACAAGCAATGCCTCCAAGTCACTGTGACAACCAACACACAGCCCCAAGCTGAGCATTTCAAAATGCACGCAAAGAAGGCAAAACTGCCCCAAATAAAAGAGAATCATTATCCACATATTTGTAATCTAAATCCTTAGCGTTATGAGGTTCCAGCAAAAACTAGAGCTGAAAAATGATCACTAATGAACCAACAATTTATAAAATTAGCCTTCATCCAGATCTGTTCCCACTTTAGATTAGGCCTGTTTGTCACGTCCAAGTCCTGGCCCACCACTCGTGCCCACTGACACCCGGCCAATCTCTGAAGGAGCCAGATACTCCTGAAGTGAATGCATGAGTGGCGGGGAACTTCTCCACCTGCACGCAGACACCGCGGGTGAGGCTCAGGCAGAGTTAGGGCGGGTACCAACCAAGATGTCCCTGGAGGAGCCTCACAAGAAAACACTTTAAATAACAAATGAATGAAAGAAGAAACTTGTTAATATTTTTTGCAAAAATTATCCAATTCACAATCATATTGCAAAGTCAAATGTAAGGTCAAAAAAAGTATATACTGCTGTTTGACTAATTCTTTTCTTCAAGGAATCCATGGAAAGGTTACAACTTAAAACTTTGCTATATGTAAGATAAAAATTTTGTTTTCATAATTTTAAATCCGACTTTTTAGACAAAATCCCAATCAAAATCCTTTGCTATTTACAGAGAAATGTTGGAAACCTTTTTAAAGAGGTTCACTTTAAGTGGCAATTTCCCGGACCAATAATCTTAGGAAAATGAGGATCTCTCCTACTTTGTTGTTTGTGTTTTTTGAGACGGGGCACTGTGTAGTCCAGGCTGGCCCTGAACTCACTATGTAGCCCAGGCTGGCGTCAAACTCATGGCGATCCCCCTGCCTCAGCCTCCCAAGTACTGGGATTACAGGCTTGCACCACCACTCCAGGTACTTTGAAATGGAAACCGTGACCTAAAATTTGGCATAGGGTAGATAAAAATAAGATCTTATCATGCTGTCTCTGACTTTATGAGAATTCATCCTTGTTTCAATTAATGAATATATAGCCAGTTTCTAATAAACGTTAATAACATTAAAATGTTTATAACAGTACATTTAAAAATAAGATGCATAACTGTCTATACACTATACTTACCTGCAAGAGAAAAAAGACTGGAAGGAAATATGTGGAAATAGTAATAGTAATGGGGCAAATGCTTTTTCACTTCTCTCCACATGGCCATCTCCACACTTTTGTAAATAAGGACATCACTTTTATAATTAGAAAAAAGTTTTTCAGGGTACCTTTCTGATTTTTCTGTAATTATCACTTATTTTATAATTATAAAAACCATTAATAATGTCACAATGTGTATGTTTTCAAAAAAGCTTTTCCTGTAGTTCCGATTCTTTCTTCAGAACCCATCTGCAGAAGTGAAATTTCTAAGCCTGTTTCCTTACTTGTTATTCAGTCAGCCTGCCTCAGAAGGCTGCCGGAAGAAAGAGCTGGGACAGCACCCTGAAAGCCAGGCAGTGCAACACAAACGGGGACACTACTAACTTCAAGGCACAGGGTGCTCTTTTGGGAGAGCAGATGGCCAAAGCACTGAGAAAGAGCAAACCAGCTCCAAAGTTCTGTACTTGCCTTTTCCCAAGATAAAGAACCGCACTGTCAGGTTAACAAAGATCCAGGAAAATCCCAAGAACTGCACGAGATTATACATGAACAGGTAGCCTTTCTTCAAGCTTGTAAGCGCTGAAAAGCAAACAAGGCAGTGAGCTGTTAACCCAGTTGTCCCGCAGGAAAGGCGTGCCTGGGGCAGATCTGCAGCGCCGCAGGCCCATGGCCTACCCCGTGCCCCTAAGACCTCACCAGCTATCTGACCCAGGGCTTCCAAGCCTGGGCTTCCACTCCCATAAAGAAACGTGAGGAAAATCTATGAGGATTGCTGTTCCCTTGGTATGTTTTCTGCGGTCTTTCCTTCCACAGTCTGAGATAAGAATACAGACTCAACAAACCAAGAAAGAGTATCACTGGCAAAGAACGACTGAGCATCTTCAATGGCATTACAGTAAAGTTCTCAGTTCCCTCTCTAGTTAGCTTAATATAATCTTTCTTTTTTTCTGTCTTTTTGAGACAGGGTCTTGCTATGCAGTTCAGGCTGGCTTTGAGCTCACTTTGTAGCCCAGGCTGGTCTCGAACTTGCAACAATCCTCCTAAGTGCTAGGATTACAGGCGTGCGCCACCATGCCGGGCCTACAGTTTCTTATTTTCTGGGTTTTTTTTAGGACCCAGGATAAAAGAGACAGCTTGCAGTAAGTGAAAAACAATAACCCTGCTATCTGGTCGTGCAGTATATGCAATTACTTGATTATTAAGAGCACCTGGGATGTGCCAGGTCCTGGGAAGGCACAATGTCAGTGAGAACATGATGCTGCCCTCCAGGAGCCCAAACCCCGAAAGCCACATTACAGCTGGAGGTGGTGAGCATGATGAGCAATGCTGTGCGAGATTTTCAAGGTGAGAACACCTGACATTAGGCCGGGGAAGTCGGCAGCAGACAGGTCTGTGTGGATCCGACGGCATCTGACCCAGGCCTTGATGGGCAGGCAGGACGAAGACAGAGCCACAGCAGGACAGTGTCGCCCCACCAGGCAGGAAACTAAGGGTGTGGATTTTGTGCAGCAGAGAGTTCACATAGGGTCAGCCAATTACAGAGTTAGAGAAGAAATAAGGAGCTTAGAGGCCAAAGGAGGGGAAAGGAAAGGACAGGTGACAGGAGAAGAGCCGAGGTGTCCTGCTGCGAGTCTGCTGTGCCCGTGGATATGCTGCGCGGACTCCTGGCTGGGGGACACCCGCACCATAGTGTAGCGCGCTCAGTCAAAGACAGCCTGGTCCGAACAGTGTCTTACTTTCAGCAACTTTAACCAGTTTTTTTCTTCAAAGTTACAAAAAAGTCTGTGTTCTCTTTCATCAAGAAACTTTCTGAGCTGGGTGTGGTGGCATACACCTGTAATACTAGCACTTGGGAAGCTTCAAGTTTGAGGCCAGCCTGGGCTACGTAGTGAGTTCAAGGCTGGTAAAAGACCTTATCTCAAAAACCAAAAAGAAATAAAACTATGAATTTCAGTAAAATAGCTAAAGCTTTCTCTAATGTCCTAAAAATCTATATATAATAATTTGTACATGTTTCTAAAGTTTATTCCTTTAAAAATTAAGTTTTAAAAAACTGGGTCTCTAGGTGGCCTTTTTATGTTGTTAATCTTTGTCCCACTAATCTTCTCCTTTCTGCTTTTCTTTTTTTTTTTTGTCTTTTTGAGACAGGGTCTCGCTATGCAGTTCAGGCTGGCCTTGAGCTCACTTTGTAGCCTGGGCTGGTCTCGCAACAATCCTCCTGCCTCAGCCTCCCGAGTTCTGGGAGTATAGGCATGCGCCACCACACCCGGCTTCTTTGGCTTTTCTAAAAGAATATTTCCCTAAATTAGTGGCTGTATTAAAAAAAAAAAAAAAAAAGATGTTTAAAAAAAGTCTTTCAAAACACACTTACTTAGAATGTTAATGCATACAATACAAAATAGAGCTGCTCTGACTGCAGCCACCTTGTCAGGGTGACCTGCCCCTCCAAAGCACCCCTGGAAGCCGATAGGGTGCCACAGTACATAGTTTGAAAACTAGTGCTCTAAAACTTTCTCCTTCCTTACGTACGACATGCCAAACGTATTAACAGAACTTGAAAAAAAAGCTCATCTCAGGACACTGAAAGAACCCTTGTTTCATTCTGCTTGTCAGAGTTAGTGCCTCACAGACCTTCATAATCTTCCTGCTGGAAGGGAAGCAGGTCTGAGAAGGCTCATCTGGCTCTGCGCCAAGGGTCTACGGCCACACTTTCCATGCAGCGTACCCTGAATAGACAGCGCCTGGATTTAATCTTGCTAGGCCACCCAAAAGGTAATACACTTAGAAGTGGCTAGACAGATAGAAACACAATTGGGTCTTTAAAAAGGTAATGAGTAGCAGGACCCTCCAGAATACTCTCCGTCTGGGAGTCTGACAACCCAACCGTACCGATCTCCGGCACAGCCTTTTTGATCTCAGGTGTAAGGAAACCCCAGGCCAAAGGAGTACAGCCTCGAGCCGTGCGCACTTCCACAAGCCTGGGCGGGTCTGACACCCACTGGCCCGGAGGCCAGCCCGCAGGACTCAGGCGCTTCCAGATAGCCTGCCACCCCTACCCAGGTATACCCGGATGATGCCAGGTCCCAAACTGAACGGAAATACTAAAGACACGGCTTTTGATGTGGCTGCACATCCCTTAACGAGTTGACACAAAGAATTTCTTGTGAACTTACCCACCTAGCTCACTGGGTGAAGTCACTCACTCTCCTGCCACACATACGCATCCACACCCCCGCCTCTATCACAGAACTGGCCAGCAGCAGCAGCGGCAACTTACTTTCAGGAGAGCCTTGGCTTTCTAGCCTTAGTTTATTCAGGCGTTCTTCCTCCTAGAATTTAGATAAATTTTCTATTAGAATCCCCATGACTGCAAAAGCCCAAGTGCTGGATCAATGATCGGACTCCCTTAAAGCTGCCTCTCTGCTGTGTCCGGGGTAGGGGGCGCGGGGGAACACATCCCAGCTCATGGTACCAAAGAGGCTCACTCTTCTTTGCTGGCTGCTCATCCCAAATGCACAGGATAAAACCACTCAGTTGGCTTCCAAATTGCCTGCTTCCAAGTAGGCAATCTTGTGATGTTAGAGCTAGCAAATCCACAGATTTGTCATAGCCACAGAAACAAGACAGAAGTTTAAGGCAGGAAGCACACTGCTGTTTTATTTTTTAAGACTTCCACATTTATTTTGGTACGTCTCCAGAAGCGAAGATTGTATCTTCAACATAAGTATGAACTCATATTTAGTTTAAGATAGATACAGATGGGCACATATAGAAATGTTTGTAAATATACGTAACACCATTCAATGAAAAAAAGAGCTCCTTGGAGAAATGGCTATTTTAGTGCTAGAGCAAAAAAATACATGAGATATGCCCAGGGCAGTTTATATATGGTAGTGCCAAAAGGAAGGGCTTTAAAAAATAAAAAAGGGCTGAGCGTGGTGGTGCGCGCCTGAAATCCCAGCACTCAGGAGGCTGGGGCAGGAGGATCCCTTCTAATTCAAGGCAGCCTGGGCTACCTAGGGAGTCAAGTCCAGCCTGAACCACACAGCATGACCCTGTGTCTGTCAATCAATCAAGCAATGCCCTACAATAATGGAGCTTTTTCCAAAAAGACCAAGAGCCAAGTAAAAGGGCTCTCAATGGCCAAAACTGGAACAATTTGACCAAGAAAGACTGTAATTCAGAGTACAAAATAAATATTTATGATCTAAATAAACAAGTGGACAAATTCAGGGGAGTAGACAAAACTCTCGTGCAGACAAATTCCAAATAAATTATGTAGCTCCTCTGCAGTGACGGACAGAAGCCTAACTCCCTGCTCCTTCAGTGTGAGCTACACAGAGCGACTTCCTTCCAAAGAGTACAGTAAGAAAAGGCGTGAGGGCTGCGGAGAAGCTTAACATTACTTCAGCCAGCTAATCCCAGTGTGATACTCACAGCGGCACGTCAGGTAAGCTGCGTGCGGCTTCACGGAAGCGGTGAGAATGGCGCTTCACCTCGGTGGTCTTCCTCCCCACAACCCTTTCCCTTCAGTCTAATCGTAAGGAAAGAATCAGGCGAATCCCAAGTGAGACAAAATACGCATCAGTGCGTCTCTAAACTTATGTTGCAGGTCTTTAAACGAATCTGTCACTCTGTCCCTATTCTATCCCAAAGTTAGAGGAACCTAAAGTGGCCCAAGTACCTTGGGGTCCTCAAGATTTCTGTCTCCAGTGTGTCCTTACTAACCTTGGCTCTGAGCTCCATTTCTGCATCAGATTCGTCCAGCCAGCGATCAAAGTCAGGGGCCAAGAACAGCGGGCGCTTCTCCTGCTTGGTAAGTCGTTCCCACCAGTGACTCACCTTCTTCTGAACAGTAATGTTCACCTGCCTCTGGGTCAGCTTGTAAACCGGCTAGGAGAGAGTGAGAACGTGAGAAGCCTCCTGCATTCCCTACAAGGCGCCCACGGCGGCTCCACGGAGAGCTGCACACATGCTCACTCCCGTCCCCCTCTGGCCCTGCAAGCCTGACGCAGACGTAGTATCGAGACCAAGGGCTGGCACAGAGAAGAACCAGAAAAAACAGCAGGCTCCTTCTGTGATGTTCTTCCAGCTCTCTGTTTCTCTCCAAGCCCAGCCTCATGACAGGTTCTCTGCCCCTTATGCCAGCACTGAGTGTTAATGCTAAGAAGGAACCCCGCACAAGGAGGTCAATAAACTCAAGCCCCAGAGCCAAGAAACTGAACTGCACCATCTGCGGTTTCCGCCCCTTCGTGTTAAAGACGCTCCCTCAGGTTGTAAGAGAGGGGAAACTTCAGTGACATTCTCGACACTCTTCCTCAAGCCCAGCTCCCTTAGCGCGGTCTGCTTCCCACTCTGCTCACTCCCCTGTAGCGAAACCACGTGAATGCAACCCTGGTGTGGGCTTCAAGCACTGAGCAGCTCTGCTCTCAGTGGGTGCCACGCGCCTCAGTCATCACTGAGATCAGAGAACAGGGCCGCAAGGGACGCTGGGAGTCACTTCATTTAACGGAGAAGAAAGTAACAACTCAGAGAAGTTCGCTGGAGTTCACATCGCTAACAGGCGAAACCTAGATTCAACTCAGGTTCTCTGACGTTCCCATTCCTCTGCATCTTGTAGCCAAAACTGGAGCTCGGCTCCCTATGAAATACAGTATTATTCCCCTTTGCTTTTTATCTTCTCCCCAGCACCCGCAGCTCCTCATTTCAGTAGCTACTAGTATTTATTCCCGAAATGGAACAGGAAAGTGAGAAGGAAGAGAACGTACCTCTGGCTTTACAAAGTCTAAGAACTCCAAGTGAAACTCATAGACATTGTCTCCTTTGGCACCGTGTCCCTGAGCTGTAAAGAACGAGATGGTGGTTACCAGGAACTTGAGCAGAGCGAGGCCAGCCCAAAGGCGAAGTCTTTCGAAAGTTTCCGATTAATGGCCCCTATTAAAATGCGTGGGAACGTGTGAGCGCTGAGCTAGACAAGCCAAATCTCTGTGTATCCTCTGAGGCTACGTTGCAGACCGTTTATTTAATCTTCCAGTGCTGCCTGATGATATCCAGTACAATGAATGGGCAAGAAAAGGAATATAAAAGGCAAGGCCAAGGGCACCACGTAGGTAAGTGTACTGCTGCTAAATCCAGATTAGAGAAAAACCAGGGCGGTGCAGCGTCGTGGCGGTGGGGAGGGAAGCTGACGGCTGCCCGGGAACGCTGGGCCTTCCCAAGGACTGCTCCCAACCTGACACCTCCCACCCAGGGCAAGAGTGAAAGCACAAGCTGACTTCTCCTCTGGCACATCCCAAAGGAACAAGGAACAATCTCCGCTCAAGGGAACAGGGAGAACCGGGAGGGCAGTGCCTGGCCTGGCCAGCCCCTCACCTCATGCCTTGACAAGGCTCCTTTCCCAGACCAACTAGGGGCGGCCCCGGTGCCAGTGACTGCCTGACCCGGCAGCTGCTACTGGACATCCCTTCTCCCTGCCCTCTGCTTCGCCTACTCTTTGGTTTTGCCTTGGGATTCTCTTCCCTCATCTGATCCTTGTAGTAAAACCTGCCTAGTATGTGCTATGGGTGGCTATTATTCTCTAAGATCATAAACTCTTTAAGGCAGGACAGTCTATAAGCTCTAAGTGGCAAAATATACCTCGATCACTTAAACTTCCTTTCCAATGCATATACAACTTGGTTGCAACCAGCGTCACGGAATTAAGTTCATGAACCAAGGTACCACTGTATCTCTCAAAAAGCCTGAGCTGCTACCACCACTACTCTCATCTTCAAAAGCAGACACAAATGCCAGACTGTACTTCCTTGGCAATCACTTAGGACAGTAGCAGCCCATGTGAAGAAGCACCCTCACTCTCCAAGGAGCCCAGGAACAGGAGTGGAGAGGGGCAGGGCAAATCCACTCCACTGGGTGACAATGAATCGGAGCCACCCACCAAGCAAGGCAGCAGCCTGCTGCAAGCTGAGGAGAGAAGAGATGCAGGGGAAGTCTGACAACCACAGCCTGTCAGAGACAGAAGACATGGGCCACAGCATTGTTCAGACTGGTCTGCAAATGCGTTATCTGGCAGCTATGATCTCACCAAGACAATTTCTGCTCCTTGTGTTTATTATCATCTTTTTAATTTAATTTAATTTTATTTTATTTTGTCTTTTTTGAGACAGGGTCTCCCTATGCAGTTCAGGCTGGCCTTGAGCTCACTTTGTAGCCCAGACTGGCCTCGAACTCGCAATGATCCTCCTGCCTCAGCCTCCCGAGTGCTGGGATTACAGGCATGCGCCACCACACCCAGCTACAATCTTTTTCAGAAGCAGTGTATCCTGGACTGCCATACAAACTGTGTATACATCCCTCATCACAGGTGCAGCAGAGACAAGAATCATTTGAAAGGACCATACTTAATGTTTCATGTTTCTTGGTCTGGGTCCATGAACCCCCAAAAGCCCCATGAACATATTCTCAGGTGACCAGAGGTCAGGGAGACAGATTATAACCCAGCATTTTCATTTCAATTTATAGGGCCAGAAAAGTCACTAACTTGTCTCAGGGAGTGGCAGAATTCAAGCTAAAAGATAAGAGGTCCAGATTCCCAGCCCAGGATTCTACCTGCCAGCACCTACATTCTTTCCAAGGGGAAAGCAGGACTTTAAACAACTTCTTTGATTTTCTAGTCATATTTTCAAAACAATTAAGTTTATCCCAAGAGTCTCAGCGGATGAATATCAATAAAAGGTGAGTTAAATAAAGAGCAAGGGAAACCAGCAGGCCTTCCTAACTGTGGAGAGCTGGAGTATGTGCCCGGGCACTGACCTTTGAAATGCAGTATGTTTTCAGTGATGCTGATGGCCGGGTTCTGTGACAAGAGACAAGGACAAAAGAAGGCATGTTAACGAACAGAAGGTGAAATTAAACCAGGAGCGTCTTCCCATCCTCCCCTTGGGGACACACCCTCCCGCCGTGGGTCTCCCCCAGAAAATACACGCGCTTCATTCACAGCTCTGCGGAAGGTCTTTCCGTACCCGTCTGCACCTACGAGACTGCAGGCCCTGGGCACTGAATCAGTCCACTCTGAAAACGGCAAATCAGGCCCGGGCTGGTGAGGTACTGTGGGGAAACAGACACACAGGTCTTAAGGCTCCTTCCATGAGAGGCACTGCAGGAAAATCTAGTGGAACCGGTGACTCACTTCCTGTGAGAAGACTTTATCAAACAGTGATTAAGGAACAGACTCACGACCGAAAGACTGTGACGGCAGTAAGCGCCACCTGAGCTGGGAAGCGGGCACGGGGGGACTGGACCGGTGGGGAAGCCACCCCCAAGGTGAGACCGCTGCACTGCAGCGTGAAGGCCACGCGAATTCCAACAGGCGGGGGTGCATCTGGCTCAACAAAACTGCAGCATGCTGTGGTCCTCAGCCTCCAGTGCCACGCTCTCTTAAAGCCACAACCAAACCCAAACTAGAAGAAATCAAAATTCCCCGAACTGCTCATTTATTCCCGGAAAGTGCTACAGATCTTTAGCAGCATAATTTAGTGAAGTTACTCAACACTTTTTTTCGGTGGATGAGACACAATGAGCCAAAAACAAGCCTCCTCTTTTTAAGGGCTCAGTACTCCAGGTGTTCTGTTACAGTAGCGAAAAGCTGGCTAGCACAGGAAGCAACAGCACAGCTTTTCAGGTTCGACCAGAGATGGTGAAACGTTCGGAGCTTTCAGTGATAACAGACACCCGACCGTGTCACATGTGCCCATGGGTTTGCCGCCACCGGCTGAGATGACAGAGGCGCTGCAGCTTGCCCACAAGCCTCTCGCACGCTCACGCTGGGGGGAGGCAAGCCCCACATCATGAGAACACTCAAGGAACCCGGGGCGGGAGACGTGAGAATTCACGTGCGCGCTGGAACTGCCAACAAAGTAAGGACATTCTTGATGAGTTCACGCCAGGCCATCCTACAGCCTCGGCCACAGCTCACACCTGCCTACAACCTCAGGAGAGAGTCCAAGCAGAACAAGCCACAAAGCTCTTGCTAAAGTCCTGGCCCAATGATAATACTGTTGTTGTTTTAAAACAATACATATGGGGTGACTTGTTATGAAGCAATATCTGCTTCCTCGAGGCTTGGCAGGACTCCTCAGTGAAGTAAGCTGAAACTCCAATCTTTCTTATGCAAAGATTTTGGACTACAGGTTAAATCTGAGGGCTACTAGGAGATCAGATTTTCTATCTCTCTGATTAAAAATTACCTTTATTTTCTAGAATTTATCTTATCTACATGAAATGAAATCTATCCATCTACAAACTTATTTAATATTAATATTCTTTTAACTCTTTTGAGATGGATCTCATTGTTGCCCAGGTTAGCCTTGAACTCCTGGGCTCAAGCAATTCTCCTGCCTCAGCCTCTCAAATACTGAAACTACGGTCTCATGCCACTGTTCCCAGCTAGTCTCCTAACTTTTTAATGTCTAGAACTTGTATGGTTATGTTTTCTGTTTCATTACAGGTTATGTTTTGTTTTTTGTTTTGTTTTGTTTTAAAGAGTAAAAGAAGGATAACATAATAATGGGGGGGCTTACCAAATTACAGACAAAGTGGTAGGAAATTATCAATGGTTACTGTTTTACATATTGTTATCTACAAGATAGTTTCTCAGGAAAACAAATAGACAAATAATAGTGTACAGGTTATGTTATGTATCTTAATTTTATGAAGAGATCTATCAGACTGTCTTTCAAAAACTTTAGTTTTATCTTCTCTACCTCTACTTTCTATTCCTGTTCTTCATTATTTTCTATCTTAAGTTCTTGGGAAAATTTAAGGGTTTTTTTCCCCCTGAATTTCATAAAATAGAGATTCAGGGGTCATTAATCTTAGGATTTTATTATTTTCTAGTATAAGCATTTAAGAATACAAATCTCCTGCCAAATTCTCTTCTGGCTGTATCTCTCAAGCTCCGAATGTAGTATTCACTACACTGTTTCACTTAGTGTACAGTACTCACTAATTCCCATTCTTATTTTTTCTTTGAAACATGGGTTGAGAAGGGTTTCTTCATTTCCAAACGCATGGTTTTTCTAGCTTTCATTATGTTAATACAGTGGTACCTTGGCTCACGAATGCTTTTGTTTGTAAACAATTTAGTTTGCAAACGGAAGCATTTGGCAAAATTTTGCTTTTGTTCGCATACTTTGCATCTAGTGACATTCACAACTGGGGCCATCTTTGCCACACAGAAACAAACATGGCCATCTTTTCCAAAGTCATAGAACAAATAAAGTTCATGAACCAAGGTACCACTGTAACTACCTCAATTGCAGAGAACATTCTCTGTGACTTAAGTCCTTTCCAATTCATGGAGCCTTGCTCTAGGAAGCAATATTTAGCCAACTTTAGTAAATGTTGTGTGTAAACTTAAAAAGAATGTCTGAGTGGTTGGGTGTAGTATTCTATATATGTACAATGGGTTTGCTGTTAATTAGTTTACATGATCTCTATCCTTACTGAATTTTATCTTCTTATTCTATTTATTTTTGAGAAGGGGCTGGGGATTTAGCTCAGCGGCACAGCGCCTGCCTAGCAAGTGCAAGGTCATGAGTTCGATTCCTGGCACCGGAAAAAAGAAAAAAATTTATTTTTGAGAAATCACACTATTTGCATTTGTCCACTTCTCCTAGTACTTTTGTTAATTTAAATATTATCAAGGCTTTGTTACTAGGTGCCTATAACTTTAATATGGTTATATCTACCTGCTGGATATGGAACATACACCTGTAATTCCAGCAATTGGGAGGCTGAGGCACGAGGATCATCACAAGTTCCAGTCCAGCAGGAGCTTACACAGTGAGTTCAAGGCCAGTTTGAACTTCCTGGCACACTGAAACCTTTATCATTATGAACTGAGCCTTTAGTTTCTAAAAATGCATTTTGCTAAAATTCTATTTTATCTGATACAATGATATCTACACCAGAGAGTCTGCACTTGCTTCTAACAGGCTTCTAAGAAGGAGTCCTACTAGTTGTGACTGTTTAAAAAAATATTCATGGGTTGAGAGGTTTGGATTTCCTAAATTGTGTAGACTAGAGCTGCATGACCTTTTACAAACCAACTCATCATTTTAACTTCTTAAGGGCTTTTTCTTCTATTTTATGAGCAACTGAGGATAGGGGATAGGACGGGTTTATGTCTACTTAACCCTAACCCTAACTATATAGTCTCCTGAAGTACAATTTATAGGGAAGATGATTTCCTAACACATGTCTCAACTTCAGTAGGTTCTGGGCTTTGATTTTTTTGAAACCTTATTTCTAATCCCTTGTACCTTATAGGCTGCCAGAACCAAAGTTGAAGTTCACTTAGTCAAGCGAACGCTCTAAGGCAAAAACAGCTGCAGAGTTAGCTTATCTGAATTCTTTCATTTCTACCTGTTGACTTTTCAATGTTTTTGTTCAACACTCTTGAACTTATCAAGTTCAACACTCTAGATAAGGCTGACATTGTACTAGAACGAGTATTATGCCTTTGCTTATAAGAAGAGAACTAGAGCGCTTGGCTTGGCAGCACTTACACTAAAAAGAGACATAGGTATGAAAAAGGGAAAGAGATGGCTCTGAAGTCAGCCAGCACTAGGTTCACATTCTAGTTACATCATTTTTTTTTTTTTGGTCTTTTTGAGACAGGGTCTCGCTATGCATTTCAGGCTGAACTTGAGCTCACTTTGTAGCCCAGGCTGGCCTCGAACTCACAACAATCCTCCTGCCTCAGCCTCCCAAGTGCTGGGATTACAGGCATGCACCACCACGTCCGCCTCTACATCATTTCTTGTTTCTGTCACTGACTTTCAAATCTATTGCTGTTACATTTTAAGATAATAAAACCACTTGCTTTATAAGATTTCTGAGAATTAAATTATAATAATATATAAAGAGTATGGAAACTTGTCAGCACTCATATGCATGTTACTTTTCGTCCTCTGGCTAAGTGTTCCTCTAAGCTCCCGTGCCTGTTGGACATTATCTTTCCAAGTCCAAGAAATGTTAATTCCTCTTTCCTCCTCCTCACCTCCATCATCAGAATAACAGCTTCCTTACTGCTCTGCGTTCACCTTTACTGTAACATATATTACACTGTAATTATTGTTTACTGGTGTAGCTGCTCTCACTAGAGTTCTGCCACAGCGGGGACTGTCTCTTCACCTCTATCCTTGTTGTCTTAATAACTGCTTAGGGAGTGGAGTTAAATCAACTTACTCCCATTTTCATAAGCTCTGACATAACTATAAAGAATTCAGTGAACTTTCTGCTACTTAACCTTTTAGACCTAGGGTTTCTTTTCTCACTCAGATCATTAGTACTCATCCTTGCTTGTGTGTGGTTCCTATAAGTGCAGAAGCATCACTGCAGCAGTCCTACTGCCAGGTGTGGTGGCACACACCTGTAATCCCAACACTCCAGGAGACTGAGGCAGGAGGATGGCAAGTTCAAGCCCAGCCTGGGCAACTTAGTGGCTTAGCGAGACCCTGTCTCAACACAAAAAATGTAAAATGTGGTGGGACTCAGAAAGTCCTGGGTTCAATCCCTAACACAATCAATCAATCAATCAATCAGCAGACCTAGGGATGCAGTCTTCAAAAGGGCCTGCTCCTAAGATCAGCTTTTCGTTGGCAAATGAAAATCTGGCTCTCCTCCACCTCCTAACCAATCAAGTGGTCCGCCATGTCTAGACTGTGCAAGGTGATTGGTGGTGAGTATCACCTTTCCAAGAAGTCTGGAATTCTGGTACATGGTAGGCAGAGGTTACCTAAGTAATCAGCCCTCCAAAAATCATGGGCACCAAGCTTCCCTGGGCAGACACATTACATCTACACCAATGCTTGGTTTTTGTTGGTGGTGGTTTTTTTGCTAGAGAAAGACCATGGATTTTCTTTTTAAATCTAACTTATTAAAATCTGTTATAGGGGCTGGGGATTTAGCTCAGCAGCACAGCACCTGCCTGGCAAGTGCAAGGTCATGAGTTCGATTCCCGGTACCAGAAAAAATAAATAAATAAATAAATAAAATAAAATCTGTTATCATACTTATTCATTTGGATGTTCAATGGTCACAGATCTGGCAAATGAAAATCTCTTCAAACTAGCTCCTGTGTTGTCCTGACATGACCTTGGATCCTTTGAGAATGTCATGTTTTCTCTGGCACAGACATGGACTAATCAGCCATTTCTTCAAGAAGCCTGAGTGCCTTTCACGGGGAACAGTAATTTAGAAGCCATCGTCTGGACATACGGAGGTGTACTCAGCGTTCATCTTCTAGTGGTCTGGCCAGGAATTTTAAAAATCATGATGTCATACTGAAATTTCCAATTCAAATGTACTGTTATGGAACTTTTCTTTACCTTTTATTATTTAATATTTGCATCTCTTCCAGTAAAACCTTGGTTTCTAACAACCTTAATACATTTACTTGCTTCATCCTTAAAAAGTTTCAAGGCAGGTGTGATGGCACATGCCTGTAATCTCAGCACTCTGGGAAGCTGAAGCAGGAGGATATGAGTTCAAGCCCCCATCCTTAGCAATTTAGCAAGACCCTGTCTCAAAATTTAAAAAAGGGTTGGGAGGCCAGGCATGGTAGTGCACACCTATAATCCCAGCACTCGAGAGGCTGAGGCAGGAGGATCGCTGTGAGTTTGAGGCCACCTTGGGCTAGTACTGAGTACAAGGCTAGCATGTACTATGTAGCCAAGACTGTCTCAAAAACAAAACAAATCAAAACAGAAAAGGGTTAGGAATGTAGGTCATTACAAAGGCCTTGGTTCAATCTTCAAGACTGAAGGAAAAAAAAACTTCCTAATTGTAGTATCAGTATCTTTACTAACAAGAAACCTAATTCTAATTGTAACATTTCCTTGGAGGTTTTTTTTTTTTTTTTGGTCTTTAGAATAATTCTACAGAATCTATGTTCGAATGTTACTTATTTGTATGACTGTTGTCAATTAGATATAGTTATACCTTTTTGATTGTTTATATTTAATTCAATTTTTTTTCTCTTTTTTTCTTTTTCCTTTTTTTTTTGTCTTTTTGAAACAGGCAGGCTTTGAACTCACTTTGTAGCCCAGGCTGGCCTCAAACTCACAGAGATCCTCCTGCCTCAGCCTCCTGAATGACACGATTACAGATATATTTAATTTCAAAATTTGCTTTTTTATTGAATTTTACCTTTGAATCTGTAAAATATCCATACTGTTCAAAGTTTAAGTTTGTAAAAAGGTACCCTCAGAAGTCCTCCTCTCCAACCTGTCCTCCTCAGCCATATTCCACTCCCCACCTATAGGGAACCGTTCATTAGTTTCAGGTTCATCCAACTTCTGTGTCTGTTCTGCAAAAGATGGACAAATCCATTCAGCTACTCCTATAACCCCTACTTCCTAGCTAACAGGTAGCACACGTTCTTCTGCACCTTGCTTTTGTCACCTAGACGAGCCCATAGCAGTGCACGGAGACCTTACTCTCTCTTTGACTAGGTGCACGGTGCTCAACTGAGTGTAAGCACCGCCATGTGCCCTCTTCCAATTCCCCTCTGGGATCCAAATTCCACTTGTGTAAAAAGCACAGCTCCAGGTCCACATCCTTTGGAAAGAATGCCTTCCTTGGCCAGCGATCGACCTCTCTCTTCTGAACCCCATTAATACGGCCTATCCACGGACTTCTCTGCTCCTCCCCTTTCCTTAACCAAATAAAATGTCTGTAAAAGTCATTTATGCTTCTGTGGTGCTGGGGATCAAACCAGGGCCTCATACACGCTAGCCAACTGCTTACCACTGAGCCACACCCCAGGCTCCTCAATGTACCTTTAACCCCGTCTGATGTGGTCTCCGCGCCCTCTGTCCCACTGAGGCTGCTACCCACATCAGTAACCTGTGTGCTGCTAAACCTTAAGGACACATGTCTAACCCCATCCCATGCAACCTTGGACACAGGTCCAAAACGCTCTCTCCTGCTTCAGGGACAGCACAGGACACTGTCCTGGAGTAGGCCTCAAAGACTGCCCCTTCTCCATCTCTCTTGTTGGCTCTTTCTCCTCTGCTAAACACCTCACTGTGCCTCAGCACCCAATCCTGGGCCACTGCTTTTCTATCAGCTTATTCATATGGGATCAGTATTGTCATGACTGACATCCTAAGCATCAGATGAAGTCCACAATACTATTTTTTTTTTTTTTTTTTTTTTGTCTTTTTGAGACAGGGTTTCACTATGCAGTTCAGGCTGGCCTTGAACTCACTTTGTAGCCCAGGCTGACCTGGAACTCTCAGAGATCCTTCTGCCTCAGCTTCCCAAGTTCTGGGGTTACAGGAGTGCCCCACCAGCCCAGCTAGGTCCACAATGCTTTATAGAGCCTGTTGAGAAATTTTTGGTTTTATTAATTTTTAATTTGAACTACCACCAAGTACTTTCCACCTAAAGATTTGGCAGTAACTGTTCTTTCCCTTAAATATTCATACCGCACCAGGTCGTACACTCCAGTTCCTGCTCAAAAGCTACCTCCACAGAGCCCTTCCCAACTGCCCAGTCAAAAGTCGTTCTCACACTTTCCCTCCCTCAGACTCGAAATGCCCAGATCTCACCATCAGTTCCAACCCCAGCCTGAGAGCCCGCACGCTGCCCAAGGGGTGTGTTCTCCGCGGCTGAAACAAGCAGTAAATCCAACTTGCTTAATTACAGGGTGCTGCTGGTGGTCTGCTGGACAGCACTGACAGTGTGAATAAGACAAAAAAGAACCCTTTCAATGAGGAAATAATAGCTGAGCGTGGTGGTGCACGCCTGTAATCCCAGCCCGCAGGAGGCTGAGGCAGGAAGATCACCAAAAGTTCGAGGCCAGCCTGAGCTGCAGAGTCAGGCTCAAGTGAGACCCTGTCTCAAACCAAAAAAAGAGTAAAAAATACTTAAAGTAATAACCAAGCATGTATTGTAGTTAAAACAGCAGCAAATTTTTTTTCTTCATGGCACATAAAACAATGGTGCATTTTACAATCAAGCGTAAGATACCATAAAATTCTAGTTTAAACTTCAACTACTGCCCTAACTCTGTGTATAGCTGCAGACTAGTGCTCATTTCAATATGGAAACTGTCTCAGAGCCTCAAACTAAAAAGGGCAGAAGGGGACTCTCGATTCTGGCCCCTACACATATTCCCCATCCTTAGCCACTTCCGCAAACTACCACCATCTACTCTGCTAAAGCCAAAGCTGTCAGACTCATCAGCGGTGGTTTCCCTTCCTCCTTGCCCTACACAAATCCATCCAGGTCTGGCAAAGTCTGTGTTCCTGTCCAAATACATCCCCAGTCTGTCCACGGCGCTTTGTCTCCACTGCCACCTCCAGGCCCAACCACCTCCCTCTTCCCACACTGCTGCGCTCCCGAAACCGTCTTCCCATCTTCCCGTCTTCCCGGGTTCACTTCCGCCCCTTTATAACGCAGAGCTGCCAGAATCATCTTAGTTTTAAAACACAAACTCTAAGGAGTCGCCCTTCTGGTTAAAACTCTGTTTCCCATTGCTCATGCAATGAAATCCAAGCTCCCTCGCATAGCAACAAGACTTTCCATGACCTACATCTCACGGACCCTCCAACCCCATCTCCTCTTCCTCCTCACTCACTGCACACCAAACATACTAATGCGCCTTCTCTCCCTGAGCCCAGCAAGCCCCGGCCTGCCTTTTAAATCTGTGAGCTTGTGAGAATGTCCTACCCTAGCTTGCTTGCTTTCCTTTTTTGTGACCCAGGAGATGAAACCCAGGGCCTTGTGCATGCTAAGCATGCACTCTCCCAGTGAGCTCCACTCCATCCCCAGCCCTACCCCCAGCTTTCCACATAATTCATTTTTTCCTTCTAGCTGTACTTGCTCAAAGCTCACTTCCTCACTGAAGCCTCCTCTGGCCTCCCTACTTAATTTTTTTGGGGGGTACTGGCACTCGAACTCAGGACCTTGCGCTTGCCAGCCAGCCGCCCGTGCTGCTGGGCTATATCCCCAGCCCCAGCCTCTCTATTTAGAATGGCCTCTACCAATGACTCTCTACCACTGTCACTTCCCACATACCACTCATCTAGGTAATTGTGCGATTTACTCGCTTACCTACTGCCTGTCTCCCTCAGCCTGAGGGCAGTCTCCTTCCATGCATTTCGCACCACCGCGCACTCAGCCTGGGCCTGAACCGTTCCTTACAAGCGCTCCACAGTGATTATTCAGTTTACTCCCTTTGTGAGTGTTTTTGTACTGTGGTAATAAACAGTTTAGACTTAGATTGGATGACTTTTCATCATCAAATATTCCAAGCAATCCGCCAGTCATCAAAAAACATAGACCACCACCACAGGGACCTCCTGTGCGTGAGTATCTCACTTTGTTCACCTCTTGTAAGAAATGAAATGGACACGGGGGTAATGACACAGTGACTCTGTCTGCTCCCTTTCCCACAGCCTTCGCCCTCGCAGCCAGCCACTACTGCGGTTATGTTGGTCGTGCCCACTGGACATCTCTGTTCACTTACAGCAAGGTACAGCATTACCTCACATGTTACAGAAATAGCCTCATCCTGCTTATACCTGCTTCAATGTGCTTTTCATTCAAGATACAGTGTTTCTAAGGTTTAATTCTATAGAGGGGGTCCTCTCTGCCTCAGTGTGCCAGTACAAATACGCCACAATGTACCCATTCTGTTGATAAA